CGGACAAAATTTCGCATTATTTGTATTTAATTCCTGCCGCGGTACTTTTTTGGCAAAAAAGTCAGTTATACTTTTATTAACACGTTTACTCATTTTACGAAACAGTATATTATATTGTAAGATTAGAAATACAAAACCTAATCACGTTTATATAATATCTTATATCGCACATGCACACAAATACGTAGATAACTCAAAGAACCGACACTGAGAATAAATATCGGACAACTGATGTTATTAATTTATCAATATTATTAGACTTAATATAAACTAATAATAACTTAGATGGCCACGTGGTCGGTTTTCGTATTACAAATTTACATCAATATCTAATTGCCTATCATAAAAGATAAGAACCTGAATAATGTAAATTATTTCTAAATATAATAAAAATAAAAATAGTTTACATCAAGATTCAAATAATATTCTTATTTTAACCAAGATAAATATTTCTGAATTTATACATAAATTATTATGGACTTTCATAATAATATTTTAAACCATTTGTTCTGATAAATCGTCTGCATTATGAAGACTGCAATATTATGATTTTTATGTTATAAATTTAATATAAATAGATCACTTTTCAATAGTTATTAAATAAAAAATACGGTCCAAGGGGGGTGTCCAGACACCCAAAACACCCCCCCTGGTTGCGCCACTGATTGTGACACAAACTTTGTGGGAGCAGCCCGACAGATGAATACGTTAACACAGTACACAAGATATATTGCAATCCATAACACTTTACGTACGAAAGTTTAACTCATTAATGACGCCCCATTTTATAGGTATCTGGTAAGCAGCTATTAAGAGTACCAAATACAGGAGCACAGGTATTTTCAGCACCAATACTAGAAGACATGATGACTTTCCTATACTACATTAAAGGAATTTTAAATGTAATATCTATGTTGAGAAATTGTGGTAACCTAGAGTCTTTAAATCGGGATATTTTTTAATAAGACAACTTATTATAAATTTACCAGTTACAGACCTGAAAAATGTCTCTATGAACCGATTGAATAGGTGACAGTTGATACACAGCAATATTTTTGGACACAGTGATAACAAGAATATTTTATTACATTGCAGAAATGTTAAAAATTGTTCTAAAACAAATCACCATTAGACATTGGAGACGTGGTAATGGTTAACTCACTATCTCTGTCACTAATGTCATGGCAATTTGGAAGAATCATAGATGTTTTTTTTTAATAATATAATTTTTTGAGAACGTTTTCATACTTTAAAGGAATTTTTATGGGGAAATTTTAGAACATTTTAGAAATTTTATAAAGTATCTAGGGAATTTAAGTTCTAGCTTAATGATTATATTTTAAGTATTAGCGATTGAAAATCGGATAATAGGGTTGCAGATAAAATATGATTAATCATTGTTTCATTGATAAGAAAAATATCTAAAATCAGTTTTGTAAAATACTTGTATGAATTTCTTATGTTAATAAAGTAAAAAATTATGATTACGATATTATTTAGAAAGTTCACCACACGAGGTTCAATTAAAAATATAGTAGAGTTGAATACATTAGCTGATAACAAACTCATACCATACATTACACTGAATTATTTGAAGTCTAATATATCAAAATAACGGTAACAAATTTAACCGGTTTTATAAATAAAAAATATTGTATTTATTGTAGAAGAAATAAATAAAAAGATAGAGTTAATGAAGTATAATACTTCACAATCGCCACTTAGCTCTATATATGAAAACATTAGTATGAACATAGTTTTTGCGAAAAATATTTTACTGATTTACTTTTATTTATATGAACAATATATTGTATTGCACTAGTATACTCGAATACAGGATCGACAAAAAAAGAATGCGATCTATAAAATTGTATAGGTCCCAATTTGGATTAATCTCATAAAAATGAAATTTCTACTAATAGATATAAAACTTTGTGAAGAATTCAAGTTTTTATTGTTTTTTATGTGACGAATAACCGAGAAAAGCTTAATAAAATATATATATATATATATAAAGCACAAAACTCCGAAGAAATTAAAAATTTTTTTTTATAAGTCTGTTTTAGTAAACATTTTTAGGAATAATAAAAAGAAAACTTAATAGAATTATACATTTTTTGATGCTTAAGACAATGATAGTGTTGTGTTAAATCTAATTCATACGTAAACAGTGTATGACACTTTGTTACTCAGTTATTCAACCAGTTATAAAAAAAAAAGTTATAAATATTTTACAAATTTTGATTGATTACTCAGTCTGGAAGTTAAAAAACACAACTAAATTTTATAGATTTTTCCCCACCCTAAAAATTATTTTTGTGTTAAAATACATAAAATTGTCTATAGTTTTGGGGGCTATAGTATAAGAATCATTGGCGCAACGAGAAAATAATTTGACGTGAGGAGTATTAATTTTCTTGCTAACCAAGAAAATTAAGTAAATTTTTTTATTCTGCATTACTATTTAATAAAATTCGAATAAGCAAATGAAATATTATCACGACTATCGCTAATATATCGTTACAATCCTCTAACCCTCCTGATTGTGCTACTGATAAGGATAAATGTATTGGAGAGTTGAATAATCTTTTATTACCACAAATCTTCCAGCAAATTGTTTTGATAACGTATTAGGAATACTTAATTAATCTTCAAACATTTTAATATGCATTAAATTTTCCGATTGCCCAAAAATCTTTAGTTAATTATGTAGAAATCATTTTCTTTAGATAATTAACAAAAGTATTATTACTCAGACTAAGTTTTTTTTGAGCAAAATGAGTGGTATAAAATGACTCTAATAAAAAAAAATATATTTAAATATAAGTAAATGTGTAGCTTAATTATAAACAAAGTTTGTTGTTATTAGTAGGTAAACTTTAAGCTAAAGGGTCAAATTATTACTATTAGCCTGGTTTTAGAAGCTGTATTGATTTTATAGTGTCGGAATGTCCTTGTTGTACAGCCGTACCAACCAACTACGTGTACAGCTGTTACTGTCTACAGCAGCTGCTGTGTACTGTGTAGGGACGGACATTAACAATAAAGTTTCGTCTGTCGATAGTAAATGACTTTAGTGTCTCATCAGAGTAGAGCTTGAAAATATTATCATTTATATAGAATATTTCAATGAAATTTAGAACGTTAACAATATAATTACGTTACACGTTTTAAATAATTAAAACGTTATGTATTTATGTTATACGCTATTTAAACAATACTAATTTGTTATGTTTTACGTTTTTCGACATACAAAGGCTATTGATTTTTTATATTTCACGTTTTGCGATATTTAAATGTTTTTGATAATTTTTTTACCTTATTAGGAATTAATCATTACTATGAATTGTTTCCATGTGAGATTTTCTCTCGCGCTATTTTTATGTGGTGAAACACTCACTTGCTATTGTTAAGTTATAATGAATCATCAACATGTTGTCGTCTCTGTTTAGTTTTGTTTTATTTATTAACATATGTATTGCTTGTCTTTGTTATATATATATTTTTTATCGTTCATGTTTATGTTTCATTTTACGGTTCCATTTATTTGGTAGTCATAACGTTATAATGTTACGTTTTCAAGCTTCCCAGATTACATAAATTTTTTAATATTTCAATGATTTATGTGTATCGTTCCAATAAATAATTGCATTAAAGTATTGGTTAAAACCCGAAGTAGTATATGAAATAATTAAGAATATAAAACATGTAGAGTTGTAAATTGATAATACTTTTATTCTTCCTGGTTTTGATTAAAAGCACTTAATAAAGCAAGCAAAAAATAAAAATGACCGAGGACGATAATTTGAAGTGTTTTCTTCAAGTAAACATATTTAATACATTATGACACTAGTATAGTAGGCATTGTTTAATTTCAAAGAGTCCTTTATAAATGTTTGTTTAATACATTTTATATGATTTCCATTTATGTTAACTTTAAGTGTGTCAAAATTAGCTTTTAAGCATAGTTGAAATATTTCTTTTAAAATAAATTATTATAGTAATCAGTAGCGTAGCCAGGATTTTTGCTTGGAGAGTAGACTAAAGAATTTATTTATTTTTAATACATATTCTTAATGGCACTAAAATCATATACTGTTAATGGTAATGATTGGCCACTCTAGGCATCCCATTAGCTACGCCGCTAAAATGTACGTCATTTAGTGTTCAATGTTTTGAAAACCATAGACGTGTCTTAAAAAAATTGTCCATGAAGATTATAGATGTAAACTCAACTTCATAAGTCCAGATAATAGACTTGCAAGGAAGTCTTCCTCTCCCGCCACAATTTATTCATGGGGTTACAGTCTACAGCCTTCATGCAAATATTTTATATATCTATATAATTTAATATTTCGAGTAAGAATGACACAATTAAAAAGGGTGTAAGGGTAAATCGTTAAAATTATTGTATAAATTGTCACTTGTTTTACTCTGATATAATTGCGTAATAATCTAATTCAAATAAAATAATTGACAAGTATTTATTTCAATCAAGTATTCATTTTGAAGTATGCTAACTAAACATCTTACTCGTTTTCCTTTTTATTTCTTTTACAACTTTGTTAATTTTTTTAATTAATTACTAAACAAATTTTAAACAATCACGTTCACTTAAATCAATATCTTTTTTTTTGTTGCTGAAATATTTAATTCCGCGTTTCAGTAAAACTTTAAACTTTTGAAGTCTAAAATAGAGTCCCAATAGAAACATAACTATATTTATTAATTTTATAAATTAATATTTGATTTATATTTGTTTAAAAACCTGAAATATAGAATTTTTATTGTATAAAATAACTGTGAATATTCTTTTAATTTCTTAAAAAATAACACAATTATGTAAAAAAAACCAATAAACATTAATACATGCTTTAATATTTTGCATTATTTCAAATTGTAGGTAAATAAATAATCATGAATTATGTTATACAATTTACAGTATGGTTATGATCTGGAAACTGTAAGTATCGCTTCAAAAATGATCTCTGCAATGAGTTCGAAACTTCAACAATCAACTAAATACATGGACATGTTTGAAAATATTTGAAATAATTTTGTAATCCATGAAAACTTTAACATAGCTAAACAATTAGTTATAATAAATTATTATTTTCTTATTATGAATATAAAGTAATGAAACCTGAACTCTACCATTTGAAAGGTGTCTTATAAAGAAACAATAAAACTGAAAAACCTTAACTTTTTTAAAATAGCTAACTTATTTAGCTTAATATAAATACTATTAAAAGTCAATAATCTTGTATTTGAGTTATATATTCAACAATAAAAAAATTCTATTTTAGTAAATAATCATTTGACATAACTGAGATTATCACTTTCATAATAAAACTTCTTTAATTTTATTTATTTTCAAGTATTAAAAAAAATGCAATAATAAATATTATAGTAATTTATAAATACAAGTGTTTTTCTTATCAGTTTGGAGAATACATAAAAGGATGACTTTTTTATTTTTAGTTTTCCAGCACTATTGGGAATAAATAGTAATTCTTTACAATGATAACATTGTAGACATAGAATCACAATAGGATCTAATTGAACAAGGATATAAACGACCATAAATGACTTAATATATGAGGTTTGGTACAGCAATTTTAAATTATTACTAATTAAATATTGGATAAACTACTTGCTTATATTAAATAAAACTATATTTTATAATAACTTTAATTTTACAATAAACAAATCAAGTTTTATAAACTACTAAATACCCAACTTGACACTGTTTTCTTTGTAATAAGTCATATTATAGTATACTAAGATCCAACTTGTGACTTTTCATTCTTTAGATGATATAAGTGAAACCATTTTTTTAAATTTCGAATTTGTTGTACTTTTGGCTTTATAAAATATTTGATAAAATAGTGTGCAAGTCCTTTGAAAAATTATAACACTAAACTATCTATTGATTCTTACAATAACATTTATTGACAGTTTTATTATTCAGTTTAATAATTTGTGATATTATTTTTACATAGAAAATACTTGTTAAATCTTATATAATAAAAACTGTATATTAGTATACATATTTTGAGTTAAAATGTTTTATATAATTTCTAGCGGGTAGTTTAATAATTTTTAAAAATTATAATTCTTTCAATTAGATCAATTGTTTACAATTTTTAACTAAAAATAATTACGAGGCTTTAGTAAAATATAATAAATATTAAATAATTATTTCTAAAATTGAATGTATTTGACTGTTATTGCGGCGTGCTGTACATTAGTGTATAGTTTTATAATTATTATTGTTTGATAAGCAGACGATCGGTTTTTATTCAGCGGAAAAACAGTCTAATAAATGTCTCCCCATATACATAAAACAAAAATTCGTTTTATTAATTTATAGTTAATCGACCTAGATAGCTTGTTAAAAGAAAATACGTCCACATTCGCAACAACTATGAATGACTGACTTGTTAATTTTAATATTATAAGATGAATAAAAATTAATTTATAAAAATTGCATTTGCACGGCGCCTAATATATGCAATTTAACAACGTCCGTGAAACCGTTTAGGAGTTATGTCTACCTTTGATAATGTACTTGTTGTATTATCAGCCTTTGTTTAAACTCAGTTGTTAAATATTATAATATCTCTAATGTACTACGTGAATTGCTTAAATTTCATTTTTCGATCATATTTTATATCGACAGTCATCTTTTAACAGTAAAATAGTTACGTATGATTTATTTAAGAATTAAAAAATAAAAACAAAATTTAAACCTTAAATGAGAATTGAGTGCAGGCAATAAAATTCAGACATATTTATTTACTTATTGCATATAGTTATTTTGTATTACATGCATGTTTAGGCAAGTAAATGAAAATTATTATCACGTACAAATCAAAATGATAAAATTGTAATACTTACGATTAAAATATAAACTCAACTGTGATAATTTTAAAATAAAATTATTTAAAAGTAATGTATCTATAAAAAATCAAAATAGAAATAAAGTCATTAACAGTGAGAAAAATAAAGGAAAAGATATTTAACCAATAATATTTACTGAATATTTACACTATATTTTAATTTTAAATTGTACCGAATCAAAATTAAAGTTCATATGTATAGATTTATTTATTTTAAGTTTTTTATTATTGTTATCATAAATACTTAATCGCGTGCTAAACCCAACTTTTATTTTTGTAATAACAAATATAAAAGTCATGCAATCAGAAAAATATTTGGAGTAGCCTCTTCTATTTTTTTATTTTGTAAGACTTTTGCTTGTCTAACCATAAGTTTTGTAGATTACCATTGTATTATTGGTGTAGATTTTCGTAATTCGAATATTTTTGTTAATAATTTACTAATATTTTTCGGTCAGCGCTGTTGCTGCACAACTAAAGTTTTATAGAAATCAGAAACATCTTTTTTAAATTTGTTGACAGCTGGCGCCCGGTCGTTTCCCTCATTATGTTTTTCCCTTATGCAATCTATCAATAGTACTTATTTTTAGTTTGGATGTATGTATATGCTAAATTGTATATTTTTTATGATAATTACAGTGAATTATTTTTCAAATGTCAGGAAGTGCAAAATATTTGAAATATATAACTTTGAGACGACCGAGGCTGGGGAGGATCAAGAGGACAGAAGGGAATGAGATATGTGATCGGAAGGGTAAAGGTAGCTGGGGCGGGTGCATGGCGTAGAACGGCAACCGCGCCTGGCGCCTGGACGCCCGACGGATCTATAGAACCGCCGCCGTCGCCTTCACTCCGGACCCGGCGCAGAGGGGCCGCGCACGCGCGTCCCAGAATAGAACTTTACGGGACGAGACCACGGCCACCGGCCCGAAACGCCGCTCGAGTGGAGTTCAGCTGCTGCCGCCGTGAGCCGCGGGACCCGCGTTATTGTACCGCTCTAACGCACTAGACAGACTTTTCTGTCTTTATTTTAACAACGCCAGATAGTTTCTTTTCTTATTTTTCTCCCTGATTTTGGTATTTCTGTTGTCCGTTTACACTTTCTGTTCACCTTTCCCCCCACGTCCCGGATCCTTTTTTGTCCCTTGTGCCACCGACCGGTCTGGATTCCGTGTTATAGTGCCTAAAACAAACGCAAACAGCTGATCACTACCATCGTGTGTGAACACATCCGAATTGTCCGTCATCGACAATAATCATCATATCGTGTTTTCGTGTATCGCCGAGTGCTAATTTCGTATTAAGGATTATAAGACGTGTTGATTGGATACTTTGCCAAGTGAGTACGACATAGTAGTTGTATAATAACTGTCCGTCTTGTTACATAACACATTTGTGTATGCTTATTAAATGTATCTTTGTTTTGAGCTTTTATCGAGCCACAGTTCGACTTGAGCGTTTATTATTAGTTCATTTAACTTAGTCACGACATAATAGTGTTTTTATTATTTTTCGTCGTTTTATACTGTAGCAGTCGAATTATTCAAGTATGTGTATGAAAACGGTGTGCTGTTATCGAACGGTGGGTGCGCTGATGCCGTAACGGGTGGCGAAATAGGTCGTGGCGGTGGGTGAGGCTTAGAACGTTGAAGTTAAAAGAGGAGAGGGGCGGCCGTGGGTGGACGGGTATACGAGAGTTTTGAGGGGATACGAGACCGTGTACTCGTAAACGTGCTGTGTAGGTCCACCGCACTGCGGCTGAGCCGTTAGTACTTTGCTTAACCTAAAAATATTATTCCACTCATGTATCATATTCATTTAAGATGTTTATTTTAAAACAAACAACACATTAATGGACAAATCTGTTTTACAATTTATGTTAATCGGAATTGCAATTTATTTATTTGAATTATTTAAATTGCCGCCGGTGGATTTAAGGTCAGGTCATTCGGTCACTGAGAGTCCTTTCCAGCATATCACGTATCTAAATCTATAATCCAATTTATTAATTTCATTGGTAAAAGCTTTGTCATACAAGTGACACTGGACGTTGTATAGTTTTACAAATAAACAAAACAATTTTTATAAATAATTCGTAATCAAAATAATATAAGGAAAGATTTTTTTTTTTTTGAGCTACATAATATGATTGAATTTTTTAAATTAAATTAATTAAGGATATTTTATTAATCGATAAATCATTTCAAATCAAATTATAATTATATTAATTAGAGGTTTTATTAATGAACTGTCGTAATTGATTATTAAAAATTTTATAATTCCTTTCAAAATATAATTGAAAATATATTAAACATTCGGGAAACTACAGTTTTAATAATAAATATGATAAAGTTTAAATTTGAAACCAAAACAAAATAAACATTTTTTCTTCTAAAATATCTTAAATAGTTTAAAATCATCTCACATCGTATACATCTTACTATATTCATTAAAATATTGATAATTCTGAACAAAAATACATGTTTTTTAATAACAAAATTAAAAAAAGCTCAATTTTAAGAAATTATTTTTATAATATTTACTGATAACTAATAACTGTCTATGATTCACTTTCATTATACATAGTCAAAATATTGAGTTTTTTAGTTTGTAGGGATAATGAAAAAGTTTCTCATGTATATCCTCTAGAATAAATTATTTATTAAATCACCGTCATGATTATGGTTGAATATGGATGTAAGACTTTTCATCTAAAAATGATGTGGCACAAGTATATATTTTTTCATTTAGAGAGTGCGAAAAAAATTTGCATTTATTATAAATATTAAAAATTCTTTTTGACTCTTTAAATATTGATTCATTGTTTTTCTTTTTTTTTTTGGCAGGAATAACACGATGCGAGACAAGACATCTTAAATTACACAGATCTGGAATAGCAAAAGAACATACACAAACACTTCGGATATCGGAGTATCATATTTTCTAAGTCTGTGATATAGTGTAATTTATTTTTAAAATGATCCCTCTATTCGCTATCGATTTTCTCGACCATAGGATAGAAATCGAATCACCTATTTGTAATCAAATGAAACGGTCGTTATAAGTTGTATTTTAAGTTGTTGACTTAAATTCGTTATTCCAATTAGTTAGTTTATTTATAAATTTTGTAAAATAATATAATAACAATGAATTCCTATAAATATTTTTGAAACTATAAAACATTTTAATTGTATTTTAAATTATCAAGTCCCTTATACTCTGTCCAAGATGGGTTCTAAAGAGGAAACTAGCAAAGGAGCCAAAATGAGTGATCTCAAAAAAGAAATTGATTTAGATGATCACCAAATACCATTAGCTGAGGTATATGCTCGTTATGAAACAGATCCTGAAAGAGGATTAACTACAGCCCAAGCTAAAAGATTATTACTTAGGGACGGACCTAATGCACTGACACCACCTAAGAGAACTCCCGCATGGATTATTCTGCTAAAACATTTGTTTGAAGGATTTTCTATTTTGCTATGGGCGGGTGCTTCTTTATGTTACCTAGCGTATGGTATTCAATATTCTACTTCTGAAGAACCACAAGAAGATAATTTATGGTTGGGTACAGTTTTGGTACTAGTTTGTGTTATTACGGGTGTATTTGCTTACAGTCAAGAAGCAAAAAGTTCTAGAATTATGGACTCGTTCAAAAATATGGTACCCCAATATGCCAACGTAGTACGAGATGGCGAACGAAGAAATATTCTTAGTTCAGAACTTGTTAAAGGAGATATAGTCGAAGTTAAATTTGGTGATCGCGTTCCAGCTGATGTCCGCATTATTGAGAGTCATAATTTCAAAGTAGATAACTCATCTTTAACCGGAGAAACTGAACCACAACCAAGGGATTCGAATGTATCTAAAGTCCAAGTATTAGAAGCTAATAATTTGGCATTTTTCTCGACTAATGCAGTTGAAGGAACAGCAAAAGCTGTAGTGATACTTTGTGGAGACAATACTGTGATGGGGCGTATTGCTGGACTGACTACTAGATTGGAGCAAAGAGATACACCAATTGCAAATGAAATTCATCATTTTATGCACTTAATTTCGGCTTGGGCTATTTTCCTTGGAGTTTCGTTTTTCATAATGGCATTCTTACTTGGATATCATTGGCTAGATGCATTTATTTTCCTTATTGGTATTATTGTAGCTAACGTACCAGAAGGTCTTCTCGCCACTGTAACGGTATGTTTATCATTAACAGCTAAACGAATGGCATCAAAAAATTGTGTTGTAAAACATCTAGAAGCAGTTGAAACTCTTGGTTCTACATCCACCATCTGTTCTGATAAAACTGGAACGCTAACACAAAATCGAATGACAGTAACCCATTTAAGTTATAACAAAGAAATTATTGAAGTGGACTATTTTAAAGATCCAACTGGTGTGACTGAAGAAGCTAGAAATACCAAAGCTTACCAATCACTTGTCAGGGCAGGATGTCTTTGTAGCAGAGCTGAATTTATTTGTGGACAAGATAATACACCAGTTCTCAAAAGAGAAGTTATGGGTGATGCTTCCGAAGCAGCTATCATAAAATTCTCTGAGCTTGCAGTAGGAGACGTTATGGCATTCAGAGATCAACACAAAAAAGTCGCAGAAATACCATTTAATTCTTCCGATAAATTCCAAGTATCTATACATGTACTACCATCTAAAGGACAATTGCTAGTCATGAAAGGGGCTCCTGAAAGAATATTAGCTCGTTGTACACGCATGCGTTATGGAGATGGAGTAGTTGAGCTAGATGAAAATATTAGGCAAGAAATGGATGAAATTATTGAACAGCTCGGTAGTTATGGAGAAAGAGTTTTAGGATTTTGCGATCTTTTCCTGAGTACAGATCAGTATCCAATTGGTTTTAATTTTACAACTGATCCTCCTAATTTCCCTTTGAATGATTTACGATTTTTAGGGTTAATGTCTATGATTGATCCACCAAGACCTGGTGTACCTGATGCTGTTGCCAAATGCCGTTCAGCAGGTATCCGTGTCATCATGGTCACTGGTGATCATCCAGTTACCGCTAAAGCGATAGCTAAGGCCGTTGGTATTATTTCAGAAGGTTCAGAAACACTCGAAGAAATTGCTAAAAGACGACGTGTGCCTGTGTCTTCTTTGGACCCCAGAGAGTCTACAACGATTGTTATTCAAGGTTCAGTTTTGCGTGACATGTCTTCCGAGGAGTTAGAACATGTATTAAGAACAAACAGAGAAATTGTATTTGCTCGTACTTCCCCAACGCAAAAATTACATATTGTTGAAGGTTGTCAAAATCTTGGAGCTATTGTTGCCGTTACAGGAGATGGCGTAAACGATTCCCCAGCATTGAAAAAAGCTGACATTGGTATTGCTATGGGTATTACTGGTTCTGATGTATCTAAACAAACAGCTGATATGATATTATTGGATGACAATTTTGCATCAATTGTTACCGGTGTTGAGGAAGGACGACTTATTTTTGATAATTTAAAGAAATCAATAGCTTATACTTTAGCATCCAATGTGCCAGAGATAACGCCATTTTTATTATTTATTGTTGCCGGCATTCCATTGCCTTTAGGCGTAGTGGCTGTCCTTTGCATTGATTTGGGAACTGATATGTGGCCTGCTATTTCATTAGCATACGAGAGGGCTGAATCTGATATTATGTTAAGACATCCAAGAAATCCAACAAATGACAAGCTGGTAAATGGAAAACTCATATTTGTAGCTTATGGTCAAATAGGTGTGATTGAAGCCGTTGCTGGGTTTTTCTCATACTTTGTTATAATGGCTCAATGTGGATGGAAACCACCTCGGTTATTAGGCATTCGTAATGAATGGGATTCAAAGTCTGTCAATGATTTACAAGATTCATATGGTCAAGAATGGACTTTTGTGCATCGAAAAGAATTAGAATATACATGCCATACTGCCTTCTTTATAGCTATTGTAGTTGTTCAATGGGCTGATTTAATAATTTGCAAAACACGATATAATTCGATTGCTCATCAAGGAATGGACAATTGGGTTTTGAATTTCGGTATAGTGTTTGAGACTTTAGCTGCTTGTCTTGTTTCATACTGCCCGGGTATGACCGATGTGCTAAAGACCTACCCTGTTAAAGCCGAGTGGTGGCTGCCAGCTGTACCATTCGCTATTGTCATATTTATTTATGACGAATGCAGACGTTTTTGGCTCAGGACTCATCCTGGTGGATGGGTCGAACGACACACTTATTATTAAAGATTAATTTTAACTACAATAAATTAAAAATAATAATCATTTATTGCGGCAATGGCCTTGTATAAAAAGAAATCAATTAATATAAAAAAAAAATCTTTTGCATTACAACCTCAATGATTAAAAATTTAAATGTATAGCTGTTATTGTTATTGATAGTTTTATTAGTTATTTATAACGCGAATTTTTTTAAAAATTAGAAGGGAAAACTTGCTATGATTTATTGTCACCGGAAAGTCAAAAAACAATATGTTAAATTAATTTATTATTATACGAAAAATATGAGTGTTCATTTACCATAGGCCTAGACTATTAATTAATATGTAAGTAAATGAAAATCGTTAACAGTGCATAGAGTTGGATTAGTTATTTATAAAAAGTTTTTGTTAAAATATATTAAAATAATATATAGTACAAGGCTGATCAAAAGTCCTACCTGGAAATCATTTTATCTTAAAACTTTTGATCTTCCGCGTATCTACATATTGTAATCTGGGCTGGTATATGTGCAATTATGCTTTGAGTCTGAGCCATTATAATATGTACATACATTTAAAATGCCTGTAGAAAATTCAATGTATAGTATTTTGTTTGAATTAAAAAAAAAAAAAAAAAAATTAAAAAAAAAAAGGAATAACTAATAGTTATTGCATTTTTAGTTTTGTTATGAGTTTTAAAATATTATCAGTAAAGTTATAAGTGTTATGCGTATAATTACTTAGGGCGAAAATTGGACTACAAATTACAAAACCTAAATCTCATTTCTTAAGCGGAGCAGAAAATTTTATTTCTGTTATCCAAATTAAACTTAACATTTGTAAACATTATTCATACAATAGCCTTTCTAGCCTATTATTGTACTATGTTAAATAGTTGATTTCATTTTGTTTTATAATTTATACTATTTTTTTTAATTTGTGTCTTATTGACGTTTTTTGTTTACCGGATGTATACAACTATACGATTATTATACTTAATGATATTTATTTTTAACTTAATGTAGAAAATGCTTATCTTAGTCGATTTCACACAGGCAAACAAATTTTATATTTAAGAAAAAATGAAATTATTTACATAAAATATGTCATATGAACTAGCTTAAACCGCTGAAAATAAAAATCGTAATATTTTAGTATGTAAAATTAAATATTTTTAAGGAATTTTTTTTTTTTAGTTCAATTATAGGACAAAAACTATATAAAATAGAATGTTTAAATTTGTACTATTGTAATAAGCTTTTTAATATCCGTTGAATAATGTAAAGTTATATTACTTAAGTCATACATTAAATTTTTATTAATGCCATTTAATACATTGTGAAACGTCGGGTATTTAGTTACTATATAATGTTATAATGATTATTGTTCGGCTATATATGCTATATAAAAAAGCAAATCACGCGAAAATCATAATATTATTTTCAGAGATTTTATGGTAATGTATGTTCCGAATAAAAGTCCTGTATACAAAGACATTTAAATTGGACTTATTTTTTTTCGAGGTAACCTACTTTCCTTCATGTATTCCTCTAGTCTAACGATTTCAATTCTATTCCTGAATTTAACTTCTAATTGATATTCATCTCCATTTTTACTTCAATCCGTTGAAACGCAACAAAAAAATATTGTCGGTAAAAACTAAAAAAAAATTATAAAAAAATTCTTTTTGGTGGTACTTATATCGCATTAATGTTGTGATTTTTGATTGGTGACGACGAAAACAGCTTATTAAAATAACTTTGTGTACTGTTATGAATAATATCGTAATGTAACATTTCCAATACATAAAATCACGTTTGCATCGCCCAAAGCCGTTATTAATGGCCGAGGTGGTTCTACACGGGAGAACCGAGAAGTGGTTTTCTTAGAACGATGGTGAATACATAACGTCAGTTTTTTTGTCGTGTTTGTACCTTCTTCGTTCTTAATTTCACTCGCAATTGAAAGGTACACAAACGCACGTACAACATGAACATAGGACTTGTGGCCGTTATTCTGTATAACAGTAAGTAAATCATAATAATTCATTAAGTACAGTTTATTTGGTATATTTAAAAACATCAAATAATGTTTGAAACAAAATGGAGATTTTGAAACTGAAACTGAAAGAAAGTAGTATTATTTGTAAGAGTTGATTTATAAGATAAATATCTACTCCTAAATTAAAAGTACTTCACGTCAACACTAAAAATAAACGTATGTACTGTGATTTAAAATTACAAAAAAAAAAATATATATATATATATAAACAATACTAAGATCAAAACTAATTAAAATTATTTTATAAATTATGTTATAAAAATATAAGTACAATTTTATTTTATTTTAACATTTTTCAGTAAATAAATAATTAGTAAATATTATTTATTTATTTTATCTATTCTGTTTTATTAAACAATACACAATGTTGTACGTTTTTAATAAATTTTGTACATTAAATTGTCTCGCATAGTTAAACAAGTCAATGTAATAACAAAATTATTCTCATAACTACTATTATAATTATTATACAAAAACTAATAATATTTTCTATAAACCCAGATCAAACTGTGTGTTTTTTTAATAGCCATTTGTTACTTTACTAAAATAATGAGAAAGCAATAATACTTCCCGTTGTTATTCTACCATAATTATTTATACACATTTCACGGCAATTTGTTTAACTTCAGCAACACGCAAATTCGTGACTGGTACCTTATAGACCCTTAAAATATTGACCTTGTACTTTTATGTTGTAGTGTATAGGTAGACACCAATTCTTCAGTAATTACTTTTTTAAGAAATAAAAATATCAAAAATATAGTATAACAATATTTAATATCAATAATGGTATTTAAAAATCTTGCCTTTGAGCAAAAAAAAAAAAACAATTATTTTTACATTTTCTTTTTAGTATTACTAGATCCTGTTATTTTATTTTATTGAAATTATTTCTATCAAATTAAATTGCAAAAATAATAGAATTTAAGACAACTAAAGAAATGAGTTATCTCACCACACAGTGATACTTTGGATATTATCCAAGTAATGTTGCTATGGAATTCACAAGAACACTGTGAATTCCTCCTAGTGGTCTGCTAAAGCGATTAAAAATACCTTTTTGATACAAAATCTAATACACTCTACTGGAGAACTTAACTCTAAAGATTGTGGCCTGTAGCAAATGTTTTTTAATTGCTATACACGGCTCATGGGTGCCACCCAAAAGGTTTCGAAAATGTCGACCTCCTACAGGTAAGAATTTCTTTATATTAAAATTATGATAATAGGATTGTATAAATAATGAAAACAGGCGAATAAAGGACATGTGACGGCTGAGTAGCTGTAATGATAACATTCTGTAAGAGTATTATTAATTCTTCCCGCGCAATTGAGTTATAGTCAAATGATAATAACTATTTTAATATTAGTTTCACAAATGATTCTTTTAAAATTGAATGCGATTTTCGCTTTTGTATTAACACATTGTATACTTCAAGGATTTTTCTTTGAAAATATTATTTTTACGTCTATAAAATGAACTTCTATGCTAAGTATATTACTACGACACAAATTTTTGTGCCAAATTTGAGAGTTAAATAGCCAAACTAGTATTAAAAATATATAATAAATACATAGTATGTATTGTTATATTTAGTTCACATTATGAACTAAAATATAATATTTTGTCAATCCTTAATTATATTTAACTTCATGTTACTTGACAGTTGCCTTGTTAAACGCACAATCTACCAGAAAACGACCGACTGACAGTGGTCGAGAGACTTTTACGGATAGGATAAGAACTACTCTAGCAGTCTCTGAAGCTGAAGATGAACAGCTAGAAAATGAATGTCCTCAACCAGATGGATTTTTCGCAGATGCTACTCAATGCGACAAGTATTACGAGTGTTCTAACGGAAAGATAACAGAGAAACTTTGTCCAGATGGCATGGTTTTTAACGATTTCAGTATAGCACACGAAAAGTGCGACTTACCTTTGAACATTGACTGTTCACAAAGACCCGCCCTTCGTAAGTGTAAAAATTCTATAATAACATTTACACAAAAAATTATTCTTTCAATTGTAGAGGATTGATGAAAGGGGCATATTGGGTGAAGAAATACAATTTTTTCATCGATGCAGACATTAACAAGTTACAGTTAATCAATAAACTAGCAGTAACTTTAATGATATAAAGGTCACTAAATATATACTTAGTAACTAAACAATTATTTTTACTCTCATTGATAGTTTTAATACCTTATAAATACTTTTCGTCGGTATCATACTCATAAAAGGGTGTGAAATCGCTCAAATGCCTGATAATTTTAGTAAAGATTTTATAGAATATATATTTTTTTTAATATTTTACGTTTCCCCCAATCAGCAAAATTCTTTTATTATCATCCCCCCTTCAAAAAAATTACCCCCGAATCAGCACTATTTTAGAAAAACGCTGATTCTTATTTTTTTTATTTTTTTTTTGTTATTGTGAAAAATGACTATAACCTCAGTATTGGGTGAGTATGATTTCAGGGATTTAAATACGAACATTTCCATGTGAAGTATCTTTTTTTATTAAAATAAATTCTAATTTAAATTTTATGTTTTTAAATTTTTAACTTTGTATGGAAAATGTTATTTCTGTTAATGTCTGAGTGAACAATTATCAACGTCTCTAGAATTTCTCACGTGGGTAGAGAGAAGACGAAGGGTTGGTCGATCGATCGTACACGTCGTCACTGAGCCCCCAATAATGCCAAAAAAAAAAATATTGAACTGCCAGCCACCGCCCGTAATTTTATAAGCATACATTTTCAAGTTATTTTGAGTAATTTAAAGTTAGTTAAGACGTCTATCACTATTTGACTTTGACCATTAAGATTATACATACAAATATATCTATCTAAGGAAAAAATAACTCAATGAGTCAGCTTCTATTATTTATAACGATTCAAGTCTAGCTGGAGAATTTCAAGTTAACTACACAGTTATGTAATTTTTTTTTCTTTTTTAGTCTCTTATCAAATAACTTGTTCATAATATATATCAGTCTATTTATAAAATTACATTATATGACGATTGTTATTTACTCGGAAGTATTAATTCCTCTTTATCACTAAATCTTTCGTGTGAAAAATTGTAATTATAATCGGTTTGAGTATCTGTGGCCAATGCAACCTTCTACATTATTTTAGTGCACTTGTAATTTTAAAATTTTACTATTTATAGATTATATTAGTATAAATAATATATATATATATATATATATATGCCTACTTATTTTTTAAAAATGATTTAATATATAATTTAAAACAAAATATCATCAGTGCTAAATACATACATGAGTCAGATACTGAAATAAACAATTTAAAATGCTGATTTAAGTAAAATATGGGATACTAATTAAAATCCCACATTTTCTCGTCCTCTGAGCACATTAGTGCATTATAATAACTAATAATTTGAAACAAACTATAATGTAAACCCTTGAACATGTGCTCAAAATTTATTAGTCATCTTTATAAATTTTTGTCAATTTTTTACATTTATTATAATGTAATCGGTAATATTAAGAAATATTTATATCTGTTGGCAATATATATAATTAAAAAAAATAAATCATTTGAACCTGTAGAAGAACCGAAACCTGCCGAACACTGTCGCAGACAAAACGGATATTTTGCTCACGAAGACGAAGGCGTTTGCGATAAATTTTATTTCTGTGTCGATGGAAAATTTAATGCAATCACATGCCCTGCTGGATTGGTGTACAACGAAAAAACAGGAATATGCACGTGGCCCGATGAAGCCAAGAAAAATGGATGTACTTCACAAGGTATTGGTATATTTTATTATATAGAAACCGTGACGGCGCTAATTGTACTCAATTTACTTTCTCTAAATGCACTGAACATTGTTTTTCCAATTAATATTCGTGAAAATGAAAAGAATTAGTTTTCTCATAATATTCCATTATTGTTCAATTTTAGTTAACTTCCATTACATTATGATATGGTTAAAATACGAGCTGCGGTTATTTCCGGCTACGTCCATTGGCCTCTGCTATGTGAATAATAGAATTTTTTATTTCATATTATTGCATATACATGTTTGAAAACGGTATTATGCGTGTATAGACTCAAGTGGCAATAGCGGCGGCTGATATTTTTTATGTTTAATGCTAATATACGTATTTGTTTGGGTGCCAAAATAAGATAGATTGGAGGAAAGCAGCGGCAGCATTTTGGAACCGTATCAAAATGGTCGCACTAAACTCCCACTGGATTTGTATATTTTATTTTTGCAGCTCCGGTCTTTCATGGTTATTTTTATGATAGACCCCCATACAAAACCATGTGATTTTCGCTCAAATCTAATTAAAAAATTGTAAATGTGCCGATGTAAATCGTTTTAAACATTAGCCTTTCAAATAACCTATAGACAATAATTATATTTATATTTATATTTTAGATGTATTTAAATTTCGTTGTCCAAAAGTCACTACAGAGATAGCCCAACAGCATCCTAGGTACGCTGACTCAGAAGACTGTCAGTTTTTCTACGTCTGTGTTAACGGCGAAACGCCAAGAAGAAACGGATGCAAAATGGGACAGGTGTTCAATGAGGCATCCGGCAAATGTGATTGGCCAAGAAATGTCCCTGAGTGGTAAGAGATGAAAGAAAATGGAAATAACTTTTTGACAAATACAATTTATAAATAGTATTCAAAAATAGTATATCATAAATTTATAATCATAACGTTGATCAAATTTGTTGAAGTATTTCGTATTTCTTATTAGCTTAAATATCCATTCAGTCCGTTTTAGTAATAGTTTATATCTACATTAAATGAAGTGATTAAATGAATACAAGATATAAACAAGGATAATACTATTCTAAAAAATAAAATTGCGTGACCGGCTATAGGTAATTACGTTGTTATCTTATTTTTACAAATGGAGTTTTGAAGAAAAAAAATGTAATACTCGGTTTAGTTATAATTCATTAGTCAGAAAGAATTTGCATAATTAATTTCTTTGGTCTGTAATATGATTTGGAAATACTTCAATAATGAAATGTTTAATATATACAATCCATGGAATAGATCCGTTAACTATTTTTAGAAATTTAGGTCAAAATTTATTGTTATAAATAGATAAATTATTCTATTAACTTTAGTTTTACACTGATTTTATGTATATTTACATACGTTAAGGTCTACCTATCATAAATAGTATTCGAAGAAATGTTAAAAAATAATATGACCTCATACACATGAGGAGTTTAATAATTAAGAAATAAAAAAATTGGCTTCCTGGCAATTACATAACAGCTATTTTAGTATTCTGTGTGGAGGTCTCAACATAGCACTAATAAATATGATGTAACAAGTATATTATAATACAGTTTATTGTATTCGCAGTGTTGAATGGTACAAAGGAATATTAACTGATGAGCAACTGGAAGATCTTGAAAATCCAAAACCAAAACAACCATCAACCAAAAAGAAATCTAATAGACCCACCACGACAAGAAGAACATTTATACCAGAAGAAGAGTAGTAGTATCAGTCCAAATAACTATTACCCAAAACTTATTTGTAACACATTTGATAAATGACTATAAATTACAAATAAAATTGTTGATTGTATCAGGAAAGCTGATCTCATTTCTCATTAGAAAGACCAATTTTATATATTATAAACTATATTATAATAATCTTAAATTAAATATGTTGTAATTTATAAATCACAATACTGTTTTTTACCGAATTAAAAAAAAAGTGAATACATCTACTATTATAAATATAACTTGAATTCTTTTTATGTTTTTTTATATTAGTTTTACTAATTAAAGATATTCTTACATAATTAATAATCTTCAGGGGACTTTTATAGATTTTAGGGACTAATCCCTTCAAATTACGCTCATGTCTACTTTTTAAAAATAACTGTAATATTGTAAGTAAGGAGGCTGAGGGGGTATGGACACTCGCATGAGTATGTAATACATAAATCATCAACTGTACTTCAAGTTTTTAAGCTCCACAATTTATTTATAGACTGGGGGCAAGGGGCGAACTCCCGAGGCCCATATAGGTCTTTACCCGACCCTAATTAAAGATAACTATTTTTTTTTAACTTTTATCTTTATACTATAGTAGTCCATTTTATTAAGCCGAGAAAAGAAATTTTATTTTATAAATTATACTTGTTATAAAATATAACATTTTTTTCAACTTAATACATTCATTCACAGTATTTCAAATTTCAATCTTAAGTAATATTTGCTGATATTCATAAAATAATAATGAATTTATAATTATCTTCCAAATTTAAATTTACTCTACTTAACCCTACACTAATTAATAAAAACGCTATAGAGTGTTATAAAATAGAACTTTCTAATTACAGAGAGTTCTATTTTTACTAATGTAACTTAATTAATTTCTTTAATTAGTCAATAATTTTTCAAGGAATTAAATTTTGGTCAAAATCTTTGAATTATTAATGAATAATATTAGTGTTATTATTCAAATAAAATAAAAAATTCTAGTAATCAAACAATTTGAAACGTTATACATTCCCTTTTATTAACAAATAAATTATACTATTGCTTTGGTCTTTGGAGACTAATTATCGTGTCTTTATTTTCATAAAGTTCTTAATAGAAATAATTAAGTTTATTGTCAATTTATTTTATTTCTATTATATACCATTATTATATAGTAAATACCATAGAGTATTTCGAGTATAAATAACTAGTTAATTTTTGACAAATCCTTTTTTTCATTACTCAATTAAATATTAATATCATATTATTTGAGAAAACGAAATTTCAAAAATGTCTTTAAAAAGTCTACAACAATATTTTTTTAAATTAAATACCCGAACTAAAACGTTAATCATTAATTTTGAGATTATAAATACATTTGTATTATAATTCAACAATTTCTACTTAACAGCCAGACTTTTTATAGGTAAATACCAAAACAAGAATGCAATACTCGTAGATATTAATTTTATTCAATCTAGTAATTACTTTACAACAGCAGACCGGTTGAAACATTTTATTCACACGGCTATTCCAATAATTCGAACTGTATATGTCTTTATCAGGCGCATTTAACCAGCCACGACGTTAAGCAATCACACTATGAGAAATCGATTCATAGGACGATTTTTTTCCTTTCTTTGTCATGGATTTTCTTGTACACGTATCTCCTATGTACGAATAAAAGCGATTGTCTCAGGAGGGAGAAACTGTAGAATGGTTTCTTGTTCTTTGCCGAGGCCACAGTCATCTGTACATGTAATACCTTCGCGCATTAAGTTTTCAGTTATGGATCTTTCAATAGCTTTATTCATCATCGTAATTGGAATTTCTCATTCGACAAGTAAGATTTTTAATAATAATTTCAATTAAATAAATAGATATGTGGATAACTAAAATAAAATAATTAAAAAATAAACTTGTAAATTATTTACTTACTGAGTATACTCGATGAAAAATAGATTTTATGTGTTTCTCAAAAATAAACAATAAAAAATAAAAATAATTTGTATAAGAATGAAAAGTTCTGGTTGTTTAAATAAATGTGGGCTATTATACAGGTAAGAAGTAAACATAATAACGCCCACTGAATAATAAATGCATTTCGTATAAATTATTGTTATTATTGTACGAGAAATAAATTAAATTCTTCTTGGAATTCACTTTCACTTTCCCCTGCTGTTCATTTATTAATTTCATAGTAATATGAAATTATGCAAATTAAAGATGATACAATAATACGTAATGCAAAATAAAGCATTATCTTTTTATATTAATTGCCTATTAAATATATATTAATTTTGTTATTAAATTTATATGAAGCTGTCAATGGAATAGACTTTCAGTGTCCAAAGAAAAACGGTCAATTTGAGGATCCTGTGCAATGCGATAAATTTTATGAATGTAAAGATGGTATAGCAACAGCCAAACTCTGTCCTGACGGATTAGTTTTTGATCCGTTGAATAGAAAGGTCAACAAATGTGACCAACCATTTAGTGTGGACTGTGGTGAACGAACTGAACTTCGTAAGTATATAGATTAAATTTATTTTAAGTTACAAAGGACCAATTATTATTTTTTAAATATTCTGAAGTGAAAAATGTTTAGAATTGTTAACCAAAATACACAAACAATCATACTGCATATTATATTGAAATAATTACCTATTTATCAAATAAATTACTGAAAACTTAAATATGGTGTATACTTCCACTAATACTTAAGTTCGAATCTTATGACCATTTAACTGAACTTGACCTTAATACTTATCGAGTTTAATTTGTTTAATTGACTTTAATATAGTAAAAAGTATTCAATAAGCGTTTATGAACTTTTTAGCTACAAATACAATTTTTGTACAAATTTTTCATGATAAACTACGTTAAAGTATTATTTGTTAACAGAAAATCCTCAATCTAATCACTTATGCCCCAGGCGAAATGGGTACTTTGCACACCCTGACGAGAAAATTTGCAACATTTTTTATAACTGCATAGAAGGCGAAGGAACAGAAATAGTATGTCCGAATGGCTTGCACTTTGACGAGTACGCGGGAACATGCGCTTGGCCAGCCACTGCCGGCAGGACCGGATGTGGCGAACCGGAAGAAAGTACGTATTACTATTTGCAATTAATAAATTGACTAATTTTTCCATTTAAAAGTGAACATTTTACTAAAAAAGTTTATGGGATACTTTCTTCTCGAGTTTATCTAAAATTTGGTATGTGTATCAATTACTGAATCATTGGAAATTTTCTATTTTACAGTGAAACTCAAAGATGGATTCACTTGCCCAAAAGAAAAACAACAATCGTCTAGAGTACAGAATGTAGCACATCCAGTGTACTCACATCCGGATGATTGTCAAAAATTCTATGTATGTCTTAATGGAATAACACCCAGAGAACAAGGCTGTTCTGTTGGTGAAGTATTCAATGAGCAATCTCAAAAATGCGATCGACCTGAAATGGTACCTGGATGGTAAGTAATGCATGATAATAGAATGCCTACATAAGCTTAAAAAAATTTAATTTCTATGGAATCTAACCCAATTTATCATTTTTAGCGAGGATTGGTATAAAGATGACCCACAAGTACAAAACAAGAATAAAAAAACCACATAATCCTAAATTAATTATGTTTTAGTATTAATTATAATATACATTAAGCTAAGTCATTTTTTTCATATATTTTGTTAATAATTAAATGTATAGTTGTATTTATTAAATAAAATACAATTAATAAATTGTTTTTCATTGATTCAAATTTAAAAAAATTTGAGGGTTTTAAGAATTTTTGAAAACGCAAGCACAAAAAAGTATACACAAGAAATATTTACTAAATTTTGTATTCATGTTTTAAAGATTTTTAAAAACCATTAAAACACCCGATTAAGTTCATATTTATCATTTAAAACGTGTATAATATATTTTCATAGATTAAACTTAGATTACTATTTAGTTGTTTGTGTTTAATAATGTATTGCTTTTTCATGCTATATTCAAAATGACAATAAAGGTTATAAATTATTACAACTATAATTAGATTTCTATTTAGTAATACATAACCTATAATTTAATAAATTGTAAAAAACATGTATTAGAAAATTAATTTGCATCATCTTGGAAATCTTTAAGTATGATCATCGCCATTGAAAACATTTTTGAACGAATGATTAAACTATCTATATATATAAATCTGTATGATGATGGCAAATTATGTTTTCTAGACGATGTCCGAATATTTAAAGAGTTGACTGTATGTCAAGAAATTTTTCGTAAAATTATAGCCAATTATATAATTATATTTTATATAATTGTATATTAATATACTTAAATTATAATGATTTAAAATTTTGTTAAAATAAACATTATTTAATTTGAATGTTCAAATGGCACAAATTTCACTGTTAACTAAAATGACTCAAACAGTAAGTAACAGAAGTATAATTTAATACTATATTTCATATGCTTTGATTTCATTATGAACTAATTTGTTATTTTTTTTTTTAATCAATTAAATTTTCATTTTTTAACTTATACCTATTTTTTTATGTTTCAACACGAAACTTTTACAATTTAAAATTATTAATTTCGAATCAAAATAATATTTCTACATATGAAATGTATAATCTAAAAAATATATATCAGTTAAAGTTAAGTATAATTTTATTTCAATGATTATAAATGTTTAAACACCTAACGAAACATGTTTTTACAATAAGACAGGTATTAAATTAAGTATTGTTATAATTAAATCATAATAATTTTAAAATTGACATAATTTTACTATCTACTTTTAATATTTTTATATTAACAGCTCCTTAATGTTTATAAAGATAAATATCAAATCCTTTTTACAATATTTTAAGAAAAATGATAAATTCAGCAAATGAATATAAAAAATTATGATAAAATATTTTTTTAACGAATTTTTATTCTAAGACTTGTTTTTTTTTAATAAAGTAGGCAGTTGGAAACTAATAAGAATAAAATAATATCAATCCGCAATCCCAAAAAATGATTAAGATTTCATAAAAAGAAAATTTATTACACAATGTATTTTGACAAAATTTTTATATTTCCCGTGTTATATTTTTTAAATTATTAATTATTATTTTGAGAAGGTGGGACTCAATCTAGAAGTTGAAATAATCATAAATTATTATCTGGTACAGTCAATGCTTATATATCTCAAAGTTTATGTAGTTCAACGTCTGAAATTCAAGAATTTAATTGTTTACTGGTATTTAGTTATAATTATATTTTTAAAACACCGAAGTATTTTATTTTGACTTATAGCAAGGAAATAATGAAAACAGCATAAAATAATTGATTTTGATTTTTTGGAAGCCGATGAAATGTTTATATACAAGGGGATACAAATATGTATATAAAAATAAATTAATGAATTATGACGAATTTACTTTTTACATGCAAATAGTTTTATAAAGAAAACTCATATTTTTGAGTATACTGAAAAAAATTAACATTTTATTGATTAGTCTTAGAAAAAAATAGTAGAAGTATTTTTCAGTATTAAAATAATAATATTGATTATATCACATTATTTTATATTTTTTTAAATAATATAATAAGCAATGATTTCATATTGCTTCAGTATAATTTTTAATAGTATAGTTTAAATTTGCTTAAATTTACATATTTAAAGTAAAAAATTAATTATATATTTTTAAATCCATATACTTACTTCGAATCCAACAAAATTTTATTTTCAAAAATTATTTAATAAAAATAATACAATTTTTACATCATTAGAGGGACACATTCGATATTTGTTAATAATATCAAATACAACAATTGCAAAGGAACATATCAATATTTACTTAGAAATATGTACAAAACTTAATTATACTCGGTTCAATTTATTAATACTTTTTAAAATACAAGTTTCATTTTGCCCCACAATTCCCTACTGTTACAAATGTATAATATTCAATTTTTTTTCAAATATATCAACTTTTAAAATTCACACTTTTTATATTTTTAAGTAATTTTATAAAATATTATTATTATTATTTGTATATTCTTTCTGATAAAATCGCATTATTTAAATACCAATAAATACTGCTATTTTTACAAACAATGGAATATTATAAATCTTATTTCATACAGCTATAAATTATATACATAGTTTTTATACAATACTGTTTGTGTGTTAGTCAAACTATTAGTTAATAGTTGTATCTATAAACTAGATTATCCAGTTACTAAAATACCAGAAGTCCAGTTTTTGTCACTTTCACCAAATTCATGTATTATAATTAACCGCGTCACGTAATTAGAAAAAACATGAATTTTATCAATAAATGTTTTGTTAAATAATTTGAAATATGTAACTTAATTTAATTTTCATAGATTAAAAGTATAATAAAAAATTATAAATTTTATAAAATTTATTAAAACCACAAAAAACAACTACTTAAAAATTATATATCATATTTTCTTTGTTTTTTCGTTTATTTAGAAAAGTTGTAACGTTTAAATTTCATTCACTTTGAGTGGCGTATACTGTAAAATGTATTTATTGTTTATTATTATTAATATTTATTAGTAATACAATTGTAGTATTTTCTTTATAATATTAAACTAACATATATAATAACACATAATATGACGTAATTAATGAGTTATTTATAGAATTATTGACGAAATTGTTTTTCTAATGTAAGTTTTGTAAAATTTAATTTGCTTTTGCCTTTTTTAGATAATTATATCAAATATTTGAGTCTTAAAGGACTGATATACAAGAATTATAAGTTTATCTTATATTTTTCTAAAAGCCTCAACAAAAAAACTAAATATGATAATAACGGAATTTAATCTTCCTCAAAATAAAAAAGATGAAACTTAAATAATATGGCTAAAACAACGAATTATTTTATTACTTAATTCTTGACCTAATCCATATATTAACTTCTACATAAATATATGTTGAAAATCTATTTTTAAAATTACTAAAATTATTTTTATTTTGTACTATTAGATACTGTAAGTTCAAATTATTGGAGTAATTGTATTATCTTTTATTTGAAGCAATAAAATAATTATTGTTTAATGGAAAAGAATGTGTCAATGACACTTTGTTATTCGATTATCTGCGATGACATTAAAAAATGATGGAATATGTCAGAAAAATGCCATTTGAATACCAATGATAAAAATAACGTAGGACAAACACGTAATACTCGTTGAATAATATTATGACTTCATTTGCACTGTTTTTTTGGCTTCATCACGTAAGTGTATTGTGAATCTTCACAGAAATTTTATGATATTATATTCACAGACTGTTGAAAAATCTCTCATATTAAGTGTAGGAGTTCAAAAACCTTATTGATAACGCCACACAGAGGTCGCGACAAGTCTGTTGCGGGGGCCTCGACGACTAGTTTCAGATTTTTATAGTTTCCTGGCGTTAAACGAGTACACATCCATTCGTACCTCGTTCGCCTTTTACCTAAGATGCTCATACACGTTCAAATCTCTGCTCTCGTGCTGTTCGCAGGTAAGTAGTGTCATGAGGCACAAGAGTATTAACAAAAAATATGTCGGTAATGTATAAATAGAGATTGTTGAATTTATAGGAGTTGCGGTCGGACAGGACCAAAGCACTACTGATTTCCAATGCCCAAAAAAATCCGGTTTCTATCCTGACCCTGTTCAATGTGATCTGTACTACCATTGCACCTTGGATGGCGATCTTGTGGAAAAGTTATGCCCTGATGGTTTACTGTTCGATGACAGTAATCCGAGTCATGAAAAATGTGATACTTCTGTTAACGTAGACTGTGGTCAGAGAACAGTACAGCGTATGTATTTGATCGTCAAAGGGAATATTTATGGTTGATTAAAAAATGGATTTTAATGATTTTTTTTTTATTTTATAGAGGAGCCTAAACCCTCAAAAGGGTGTCCCCGAGCAAATGGATTTTATAAACATTGGGAAGAAGGAAGTTGCGACAAGTTTGTACAATGCGTTGAAGGTGTCGCTAATGAAATGCCATGTCCACCGGGTCTAGTGTATGACGACTCTGCAAGTTCTTGTGCTTGGCCGGTCGATAGCAAACGGCAATGCGTAACTACAAAAAAAGGTACGAGATTGTCTTATTTATTTTCAGTTTTTTGTGACCTGTATTCTTTCGAATGACCAGTAACTTTAATAACAACTTCTTGCATAACAATTGTGTAGAAATGGATAACATCGAGTTTTTATATTTTTATAATTGATAAAATGATTAGTATATTACATAAATAAGTAATGCGTCTTTAGCATAATTTTTTGACGAGGAGACTAATAATAATGAAGAACATTTGATGAACTTTATTTTTTCAAATCATATGACCTACTCATGAAATTAACTTAAAAAATATTACTTTGTAAGAAATTATCCAAAAATGCATGTTAATTTTACACACAAATAGTGTAATTTTGACATAATGTATCGAAAATTCTTACGCAAATATATCATTTTTATCACTATGATCGTTTTTCTTGCATTATATGCGTTAGAAACTTCCAGTAGACGTGTGCGAAAATTTGAACATTTTTTAGGAGTGTAATGATCATTTTATAAGAAAATATACAATTATATATTCAGATGTATCAAAACTTAAATGTTGATATTTTAACAATAAATAAAACGAGATCGCAATTATAAAAATTAAAAATTCTAATTAAAAAAAAAAAAGGAAAATTATAAATACCTATAAATACGTCGTATAAAATAAAGTAGGTGCGGATAATAAGGACTAGCTAGACCTTAAACTAAGCCTAATACAATTTAGGCTTATTATCCACAACTATATTAATCAATTTTACTTTTTGTAACTTGCAAGTTTAGGTAGTTATTTATAATTTATAGATAACAATGATTTAACGTTTTTTTAATTTTATTTTCAAACTTTATATAGTTATGATAAGTTAAACTTAAAACATACTTAGTCGAAACAATAATGTATTTGAACTCTTTTTTTTGTTTTAATTTTGTAAAGACATCGAAACATGTATATGACATGTGTAATATTATTGATTATTTACAATAAATCTTGTAAATTTTATTTCTAGCAAAAAGTAAGTTCCTCATACATTATAAATCATTGGATAATAGTAGTTATTTCTAGCCATGAACACAATATAATAGAGTATCATTTGCTTCTATACTTAATTCGAAGATAATATTGAATCAAAGTAATGTAATCAGATTCTTTCATATTATTTTATTCAAATATTTAGTAAATTAATACCTTAGTTTAAAGCTACTGATATTTTATATTAACACTTTATATGACAATCAGTTTAGGGGTTTCGAGATTAGGTGTCGTATAAACTATTCTATTGTTATAAAATGGACATTTCATGTTGTAAAAATAAATTATTTATTCATTACGTGTTGATGAGTTGCGTAATTGTTTATTGTGTTCATTAAAAATTAATTATTGTGTGTAGGTATAGACCATTAAAATATTTAAAAATTAATTACCTTAATACATTTTTCAGAATAAATCAATATTTAAGAATTTTTTTTTTTTAGTGTATATTGAGGGCATAATTAATTTTAACTATTTTTAGTATTTATGCAATTAATAAATTTACAATTTAGTAAATTTAAATATTTTTTTTAACTAAATAATTAATTTTTGTTTTCAAGAAATAATTTTTTATGCGACATATCTTTAAACGTAAATCTCGAGAAATCGTTATTACCAAAGAAAACTATTAAAATGTTTGTTATGAAAGAGAAACATTTATTGAAAAACGTTAACACTAATGATTCTTAGTGCTTACATTAAAATAGTAAAATAATATGTTACTACTTCTTCATCTTGAAACATTTAAAATTTACTGAAAATACATAAAATATTAAAAGATTTAGTTAAAATTGAAATTTATACAATTTCATATTTGTTAAAGTTGTTTTTACTCAAAACAGTTCAATAGTTCAAAAAAAAATTATCGAATTAAACAATTTTTAAAATTCATGAAGTACATTCAGAAATAATTTCAATAAGTATATGTGTATAGGAGAAATATATTTCTGTAAATTTACCGATTTAAAATCATTATATCGCTATATAGTAATAGTAATAAAGTTTTAATGTATTATATTATTAAAAGCTTAAAAAAAATCTTTTCCTTTAAACAATTTATATGAAATATATAATTTTGTTCAATGTTTTGTTACTTAAGATGCTACACTATTTTATATTTTTATTAAAATTAGCTTAGATTAAACACAGATTTTTCATTATTGCGCTGAGCATAAACTGATGAACTTAAATTTGTAATATAGTCAACAAAAAAATTACTTTATGAAAATTTGCGATCACTATTCAATGCAGTTTAAATGACAAAAAATGAGTTCTTTTGCTATTCTGTAAAATTAATAGAACTTATATACATGTTATATTCAAGGACATTGATATGGATTATTCAGTGAAGAGGTTTGAATTAAAAACCCCCATCTTATTATTTTTAATATAATGTTATCACACTTAAAATATTTGTAATGGAGGTTTGAACCGCCCAAATTAACACTTACCTACTCTCCTGGTTACATCTTAGGCAAACGTTTATCTATTAATTAATTAGAAACGACTTTTATTAGATTAATACATTAATAAAACTTTAATTGTGAATATTGCTTTATAAATACCTTTCAGATGTCCTTCCTGACGGATTTTCTTGTCCTGATGGAGACGTAATGGGACCTAATGGTCGAATATTACCACATCCTACTTTTGCACATCCTGACGATTGTGCTAAATTTTACATTTGTAGAAATGGTGTTACACCACAATACGGAAGTTGTTCCTCAGGGTCAGTTTATAATGAAGAGTCTTTCAAATGTGATGATCCTGAAAACGTACCAGGATGGTGAGTTTTGAAAATTTTGTTAAAATTTTGATTGTCATATTTTGTTTTGTATTTTAGTGAAAACTATTATGAAACTACAGAAAACGAAGAAGAAAAGAAAGGTGCCAAGAACTAATTTTATATAATATTTACAAATACGTCTTATATATTATATAAATGTAAATAAAATAACTAATTATAATATGTATAGCTGTGTACATCATTTGAGTAGATAAATACTAATGATGATTTTTTGATGGAATAATCTCTGGTCATGAAATGACCTATTTGGATCTTAAAATATTATTTTCCATTGTACAATAATTTATCTATTTATAATTTTATAACATACAATTGAATATACAATAATTTTTTTTTTTATCGTTCTGTAATTCATTGCATTATTTGTTTATAAACAATATATTTATAATTTAATATAAAAATAAGAGCCATTCAAAGTTTAATGAAAATAAAATAATTGTAAATTGGCTTTGAACCTTGAAAATTTATGAGAGTAAAAGTTTACAACACATTCACTCCAATATTCGAATATACTTTCACACGCTCGAAGTTCATCAATCTTATTTTATGAGAAAATAATTGTTCTCTTTGAATAATGTTGTGAATTTCATGATTATTTATAATCAAGAATTAAATTGCACTTGCTGACAACCTCGTACTAGATTCTATATATTTATCAAATAAATTATAACCAATTAAACAATTAACCTAATTATTCAAATTATTTCGTCATATATTCGTTTTTTATAAGAAAGTCCGAACAGATATCCTTTTAGCTGTGATACAACACTAAAAAGGCATTAGCTATAGTTTATAGTTTTTTATTTTGTGTTTGTTACTACAACCACTCAGCTCCTATTGTATTGATTTCGTTCAGCGATATGTCGAAGGATCACAATTTTCTATCTCTTCGAAGGCGCTACTCCTAAAGTTAAAAATAATTGCTCGTTAATCCTAATTTATATTCGATTTCTTAAATACTGTTCAAATGATAATTAAATGTGTGTATAACACACAGTAATGCTCTATTATAAGTTGTTGCAATCTAACAGATTTTTAGATGAGCCCTAATTAATTGAGTTATATATATATAAGTACGTATTAGCATTAAGTATAAAAGAAGCTAAACATTTTTAAAATGTATTTCTAATTTTCATACATATGTTGATCATTTTTTTTTGGTTTTAAATGTTTATTTTTAATTAATCTTATCCATTTTACCAATAAATTATAAAGTAAAATGATATGCTATCTATTTTTTCTTATTTTAGTGTGATTCATACATTTTTTTAATACTCTAATAGTTATATGTAATTTTCAAATAAATAATATAAATCAATTATTAAAATATCAAATTACGGTATGTTCAAATTATTAACTGAATGAAATCATGTTGAATTTAAATTAAATTTAAAACTAAAAATATAGTATTTTTTTTATTAAATCTAAGATTTAATATTTCAGTCAGGTTTTCAAAAATATAAATTCAATATAAAAAAAGTAAACATATTTAACTATTAAAGTAACAAAAAATTCAGATTTATATTTCTTCAAAAATCATTTCTTGTCGGATAAAATTCAAATTTTAAAATATGCAAACAAATTAAACTAATTATAAAACATTGATATTGATTGATATTTTTTAAAATAATCTTAAGTTTCAAGATCACATTTGTATCCGTTTGTATTTTATGTACATTTAATGTTTAAAGATTAAATTTAGTAAAAATAAAATGTTACATTTTTTTTTTTACTAAATATATGAAAAAAAAAATTATCTTAAAATTTCAATTATTACTTCGTAATTATAATATTATAGTCCTCAATTATTTTTATTATAGCTTATCAAAATAATTTTTTATTAAATGAAATTTTGGTTCATTCATTTTTTGTTCCTCCTTGAATTTAGTATAGGTTTTACATGATTACTATAATTTAAATAAATACAATTAAAAAAATTAAGCTTTTCTTATCATTGATTAAAATAAAAAGTCAAACCATAATATATTTATAAAGATTTTATGACTAAAGTTTATATTTATGAGAAAAAATAATATTATTAGATATCTTGGTCAAATGGGTAGTATTTCAAAAATATTCATTACGCTAAAAGTTAACCAATATTATCTTGTTTATTAATTTAAAAAAGTTACAAAAATAATATTTTCTATTTTTTTCATAAAATTATTTAAAAAAATTTTAGCAGAGTCGAGTAAACCTATCAAAAGTTATCAGAAAAATATATTTTTTAATGATTAACTGATAATTAATATTATTTTGTACGCATGATGAATTTAATTAATCTTCATCGAGTCAAGATATTGAAGTTTTTTTGTTAAGAAAATAATAGAATGTAATTTAGAAAAATATTTCTCACAAAAAATCAACTTTTGTAAAATTTATGATTTATACAGAAATGATCGAACGAAATAGTTATGTGAAGGTGAGAAAACTAATTAAAAATTACTTGATATACCGCTTAATGGTACTGGTACATTAGCGTTCTTACAGCATCCGCTGTACCAAGCAGTGGTTCAAGATCATTCAGTCTGAAGCAGATTCGATTGGAGCGCTTCTGGTGAAAGGTATCTTAGTATATACACAAGTAAGTATTTGTCACGTGCCGTATCTTATGATTATATTTTATTATTATTTTGCCAACAGTGTAATAGAAACCGTCGATTGTTTGTCAGGTCTAATTTGTTTGTAATATATTAATTGTGCAAAATGATCGTTATATGGACATTGCTTGCAGTTTTTCTGCTTCAAACAGGTGAGTGAAATTCAAATTTTACATTTCAATTAAAACTAAGATTTATTGTTAATTTGATTTATGGTGAGATTAAAAATAATTTTATTAGTATTACTTTACAGTAAATAAAATGATCATTTGTAACTCACAGACATAAAAGTCATCAAATATTTCATTTTTAAACCATGTACCGTTAAAGTATTGATATATTAATAAATAATTCATTCATTTCATCTAGAAAAATATACGTTAAATACCTGCATTTATATTTATTTTTTAAGAGTAATTCGCAAGTGATACTTATGTGTAATAAGAAATAATCACTTGGGGCTAATATTCTTTAAAATTAAAAATATATTTAAAATAAAAAAATATGAAAAATATTTGCCTCGAAAAGCCATAAAAAATAAAAATAAATTACTTATGTAAGTTATTCATTTGTTTTTATAATTGATAACATCAAATTTGAAAGTTTATAAATTATAAACTTTCAAATTTAAACAAAAATTAGTGCTTAATGAGTGCTAATAAATTAAAAAAAATACTTAAACAGCATCTATAGGTTACTAGACGTGTACATATAATTATCTAGGAACAATCCCATGAACGTTACATCAGAAATGTATTGTGTTTGCGAGATTATGCAACACCGAAGTGCTATGTCGTCGATCTTAGGCGCGTATTCTGACAGATTGGAACAAAAAATGTTAGCCCGAAGCGTTTTTTATTTATCTAATGCATAAACCAGGGGCGGTGGAACACGTCTGTTGTCAAGTTAGCGTTTACAAAGTAATAACACGAGCACGTATCGAGGTGATTTTCGCCAGGAGAAAGTTGAACTCGCGTAATCTTAAAATGTTCCTCCCCTCAACAACGAGTTTGAATGAATATGAAAAATTGGAATAATTTTAGCGAAAGGACTTTGCAATATGTTACATCCCAAATCTACTGAAATGGAAGTCATTATTTTAAGTCTTTTTATGGTTTAAATGTTGATTATTAAACAGCAAGAGTTAAGTACAATAAACTTAGATTTGCCGTTAATAGTACAAGAACTTGTAAAAATTAAACAATTTAATAAAAATCAACCAGCCACAAATGAAATATCATTAAAAGTATGTATATTAATCAGTCATAAATTTTAAATGGTTTTAGTGGTGCAGTGTCAGCAACATAACGAACAAGCGTCACNCGAGTTTGAATGAATATGAAAAATTGGAATAATTTTAGCGAAAGGACTTTGCAATATGTTACATCCCAAATCTACTGAAATGAAAGTCATCATTTTAAGTCTTTTTGTGGTTTAAATGGTGATTATTAAACAGCCTGAGTTAAGTACAATAAACTTAGATAGTACAAGAACTTGTAAAAATTAAACAATTTAATAAAAATCGACCCGCCACAAATGAAATATCATTAAAAGTATGTATATTAATCAGTCTTAAATTTTAAATGGTTCTAGTGGTGCAGTGTCAGCAACATAACGAACAAGCGTCACAGTGCCCAGAACAGTATGGAGAACAGACATACCCTCATCCCGAGTTGTGTGATCAGTTTTACTTATGCACAAACGGCACATTGACTTTGGAACAATGCGGAAATGGTTTGTTGTACGATGGCAAAGGTGCTGTTCATCACCACTGTAATTACCATTGGGCTGTTCATTGTGACAAGCGCAAAGCTGATCGTAAGTCGAATACATTATCGAGTATCATATAATAATATATGTAAATTATAAATGGTTTAGTCACAAAAAAAGATAAATTAATCTTCCTCTAAACTCGAAATAGCTCAAATTATATTTATATACGTGTGTGCATATAACTAGTAGTTGTTTTTATAATTTTACTTTTACTCGACAAAAAACCTTATAACTAGATTAGAAAAAGCAAAATAAAAAATATTTGGNGTGGTGCAGTGTCAGCAACATAACGAACAAGCGTCTCAGTGCCCAGAACAGTATGGAGAACAGACATACCCTCATCCCGAGTTGTGTGATCAGTTTTACTTATGCACAAACGGCACATTGACTTTGGAACAATGCGGAAATGGTTTGTTGTACGATGGCAAAGGTGCTGTTCATCACCACTGTAATTACCATTGGGCTGTTCATTGTGACAAGCGCAAAGCTGATCGTAAGTCGAATACATTATCGAGTATCATATAATAATATATGTAAATTATAAATGGTTTAGTCACAAAAAAATGATAAATTAATCTCATTCTAAACTCGAAATAGCTCAAATTATATTTATATATATGTGTGTATATAACTAGTAGTTGTTTTTATCATTTTACTTTTACTTGACAAAAAACCTTATAACTAGATTAGAAAAAGCAAAATAAAAAATATTTTGACATGCGAATTTTACAACTGAACAACTCATATATTGTCTTTACGTAAAACCATGTTCTATGGTGAATTAAAATTCTTTTATGATTAAATAAAACAAGTTACGTACTTCATTAATTCTGGCAACATAAATAAATACAATTCAATTTGAATAATTGATATTCAATTAATAGAAAAACAATGTCCTCGAAAGTAAAACGTGTTATGACTTCTAAAAGCATGTGAAAAACGGAAATTATCAAAATTATTATTCCTTGAGTGGTTCCTTTACAACTATAAAAATCACTCGCAGATCCAACTTGTGTTAGCGACAGAGGTGGTTTAATAATTTATTTTTATACACGCAAGTGATGTTTTGACATTTTTAATGATTTTTTATCCAGCAAGTATTTTGCGTCACTTGTATTTTTTAATCAAGTAAAATTAAAACTATATTAAAAATATTATTAATTTAAAAAACTAAAAAATATTAAAAATTTTATTATATTGTATTTTTTATTTTTTTTTAATTTTTATATTTTAGAGCTTGGGCTACCTTAAAAGCACATTTTTTATTGTTTATTTCTAATAAGAAAAATAAAAAATTTTATAATAGCCATTTTTAACTATTTTTTTTAATTTGATGGGTCGATAAAAACTTTGGGATAAGTAATTTTTGACTTTCGAGAATTTTGATACATAAAATAAATATATAGATGAAGTGTGCATTTTGAATATTCACCAGTGCGATCTCTATCTACCCGCACTATTTACCAACTCAATGAATTAAAACGCTATATAGAAACATAAATGTAATTTTTGTAATCAGGTCCTATTTTAGGACAAAACAATAAAAGACATAAATTTGTCAGTTGTCAGTGTGAATATTAGTCTGCGTTCGCTGTGATAGAGATTTTATGTATAATCTTATATAAAATTAATTTATGAACAATAAAAAGTTAAAGCTTTACTCTAAAAGTAATATAAGTAAATATTATGACAGTCAAGAAGAGTCATCCCTACCCCTCCCAGAATCCGTGCCTATTAAATTTTTTTTTTTAATTTTTACCAATAATGAATAAAGTGCAAATTCTTAACACTTAGATTACCAAAAATATAATTATACTTCATATTTCAGAGGTTAATATAATTTTATTTTAACAAGAAGTTTATGTTATCACACAATTATCCCAAAACCAAAAATTGTAATTAACTTATNCTCGAAAGTAAAACGTGTTATGACTTCTAAAAGCATGTGAAAAACGGAAATTATCAAAATTATTATTCCTTGAGTGGTTCCTTTACAACTATAAAAATCACTCGCAGATCCAACTTGTGTTAGCGACAGAGGTGGTTTAATAATTTATTTTTATACACGCAAGTGATGTTTTGACNCTCGAAAGTAAAACGTGTTATGACTTCTAAAAGCATGTGAAAAACGGAAATTATCAAAATTATTATTCCTTGAGTGGTTCCTCTACAACTATAAAAATCACTCGCAGATCCAGCTTGTGTTAGCGACAGAGGCGGTTTAATAATTTATTTTTATACACGCAAGTGATGTTTTGACATTTTTGTAATTTTTGTAATCAGGTCCTATTTTAGGACAAAACAATGAAAGACATAAATTTGTCAGTTGTCAGTGTGAATATTAGTTTGCGTTCGCCATGATAGAGATTTTATGCATAATCTTATATAAAATTAATTTATGAACAATAAAAAGTTAAAACTTTACTCTAAAAGTAATATAAGTAAATATTATGACAGTCAAGAGCAGTCATCCCTACCCCGCCCAGAATCCGTGCCTCTTAAATTTTTTTTTTTAATTTTTACCAATAATGAATAAAGTGCAAATTCTAACACTTAGATTACCAAAAATATAATTATGCTTCATATTTCAGAGGTTAATATAATTTGATTTTAACAAGAAGTTTATGTTATCACACAATTATCCCAAAACCAAAAATTGTAATTAACTTCTATTCGCAGTTGTTCCTGTTAGTTCTCCTGGATGTGAATATCAGTTTGGATTGTTTTCTGACGGAAATGTCTGTAGTACCAATTACGTAAAATGTGAATATGGTGAAGCATACAGTTTGCCGTGCGAACCAGGATTAGCATATGATGATAGAATTAAAAAATGTAATTGGCCTGATGCTTTAGTCGATTTAGGATGTAATCCTTCAGGTATATTTACGCTGACATTAAATTTACTATTTAATTACATATAGCACTTTATTACAGCAATTGTCGGTTTCAATTGCCCGGAAAAAGTAGATCCACACTCGGTTTCAGCTAAATTCGAACCTTACCCAAGATTTCCCATTCCTGGAGATCCACACAGACTTATTACCTGTGTCAATGGACATCCTAGATTGATATCTTGCGGCGAAGGAAGCATTTTGGATGAGTCATCATTGACTTGCGTTGAACAAGAGTATGTATTATATTGAAATGTATCATAATATTCAATCAATTATTATTTATTTGCGCGTAAAAAATTGAAAGTATATTTAGATGCCACGTGAACAAAAGAACATAAGTCTATTTTGATATTATTATTTATTTTATTTATATTGTTATAAACACTTAAAGCTCGCCATTTTAACGACTAAATTGGCTGCTCAAATGAATTATCAGATTAGTGAAATTTATACTTGCATCATATTTTTATAATTTACCCATTTTTATACAAATTTTATACTTTTTATATAATTTGATTAGCGTAATCTTTTGTTTGTTTTTATAATCGTCAAGGTGTTTTCAGTTTTTTTAGTTTCAATGCCAAGCTAAAATGATATTAATTTTACCATGATGTATTTATGTATTACATAATAATTTAATTATAAATTATTGTTATAGTTGTATTTGTCATTACTTTTATCACTTTTCACTTGACCAATTTTCTTGATGATACGTCAGAAGTTTACAAGTCATAACTAGTTGAAAACTTTACCCTCAAAAATTGAAAACTTTTCCCTGTAACCCTGTATATAGTGGAAATTTACAAAAAAATATGATTTTTTAAATCGGTATATTTCGAAATTTTTAAAACTTTTTTCCTTAAAACTGTCATAACTATTTGAAAAATGAACGCATCAAAATAATTTTTCTATAAAAAGTATCTTAGTTATTTTTATTTTATTTGATATATATATATATATATATATATATGTTTTAAGTATAACCCTTTATCTGCGAACAGAGAGGCCTTTGAGCAAGTAAAGGGATAAAAAAAAAATTCAAAATAGTGACTTTTGCCCACAAATTTAACTCTTCAAAATCTTTTGTAAATACTGTGTCCTTTAAACACAATTAAATTAAAGTTTATGTTACATACTATAAATTAAAAAAAAATAATTGTGCTGTTGTGCTAAAATGTTTTGTTTCATTTTTAATCATTTTATAAAAATTCCTTTTATTTGATATACTTTTTAAAAGTATTACAGAGAATGGTTTTAATTTGAGGTCATCTATTTTCATAAATGTTATATGAATGCAATCTACATTAAATATAAATTTAAACATTAATTCCTAATATGAAAAAATCGACTTTGAAAATTTTAACTAGCTTAAATTGCCCATTTTATCGTCCCGGAAGTGCATTGTCTAATTACTGAAATTAGGAGAAAAAATTCCCCATAATTTTTTACTCGAAAATATTTATTTTGATTCTAAACATATCTTAAAATCATATCTAACTTTAAAAAACCCAGCACAGGGTGGTCGCGGCACAGTGGTGACGTGGCATAGTTGGATCAAGTATAATGATATCTGACAGTGATTAAAATCACTATCATAAAAGACATTCGATGCAAATTTGTACATAGTGTTTAATTTTAAAAAATTGGTGGATTATTCCAAAAGCTACATGATCTGCTATTTCCTTATTAATATCCTGAATGAAAAAGAAATTATTAAAAAATAATATTTCTCATAAAAAAATTGTGTTGATCCATACACTTTTCAATAAGTTATAGCATTATAAAGTTAAATATGTAAAAAATAAAATCGAGAATTTTCACACAAAAATTGCATTTGGTAGCCATTTTTACCATGAAAATAAAATAAAGTCCGAAATTTTTTATTCCATAATTAATTTTATTACATGACCTTCAAATTTAAGATATATATAAAAGTGTCAGACCTTCCGGAACACTTTCAAAAGTTAAGTTGTAAAAATTAATTTTTTGTGAAAAAGGTGTCATTTTAAATCCCCCTCTGTGGGTAGGTAAAGCGTTAAATTTATAGAAATAATATACCAAATGATAGGTGAAGACATCAAGCATCTATAAAAAAAAAATTATATTGATATGTTCATTTTTAAAAATGTTATGGCAGTTTTTAGTAAAAAAAATTGAAAAAATTTCTAAAATTAGCGATTTTTAAATTTGTAATTTTTTTGGAGGTTTTCCCATTTACGGGGAACATGGGAAATTTTTTCAATTTTTGAGGATAATGTTTCGACTAGATACGATTTGTGATCTTTTGACGTATTGTTGAAAGAAATCCGTTCAGTGAGGACTGAGAAAAGTGGTAATAGACACAAAAAAAAAACACATCATAGTAAAACCAATACCTTCTAAGCTTAGCATCGAAGCTAAAAAATATTCTAATAGACATTTTTTTTTTAACTTAGTACGTTTATAATTCAACTTTCAACCGTCACCTCAAAAAAACGAATCAATATAAAATTATTTTTTTCCACATTATTTTTTTAACACTTTTGACATATAAGTTACAAAATATACAACTACTTTATAATTTCTTACAATTTCTCCATCAAAATTACAATACATAATTATTAAATATCAATTTTTATACTATATTTATTGCTATAATAAATATTTATTCATATATAATAATTATGAATCATAAGGCTAGTAATCAGGATATAAGTAAGAAAATAGGAATCCATTTTACTTTTAATATAATCCGCCAATTTCTTAAAATTAAATACTATCTACAGATTTGTATCGAAGCGTTTTTTATAGTAGTGATTCTAATCATCTATATTCGTCCCAACTATGCCACGACCTCACTGTGCATCTGTTTTTTATATTTATGTTTATTTATTATTTTTATTTGAGTAACCTGATGACGGCTTTAAAATGAAACTACAATAGTTTTTATTTTATAATAATCTTGGTTTTCATTCTTATATTATTATTAATATTAAAATTTCTATCTATATTATGATAATTTAATATTACATTTATTGTATATAAAATCAAAGAATAAAATTCTCAAGATTATTATTACTTATGAAAAATTTAATGGTCAACAATAAAACCTTATATATTATCCTACAATGTTCAGACAATTTACTGTAATAAAACTATGTGTACTTGTCAGAACATTATGGGACATCCTTTATATATTAATATTAATATTATTAATTTTTTTTTTTGCAGATCTCACTACAGAAACAGAAAGTAAATTGTGTAATTAGAAAATTTGAGCTATGTTCTGTCATAATTTCTGTCAAAAATTGATTATTCATCCTCTATGAATAAATATTACTTTAAAATTAAAGATAAAGTGACAATATAAATAAATAAAAAATAATTATTGCTGTAATCCTTATATTAATATATATAATGCAAAGTATTACTTATAGTTCTATTTTATTCCGAACAACTGAATATTTACTTTAATGGTTGAAAAGATTAGTCACATATTTATTACCCATAATAAATAGAGTTGTAAAGTAAAACGAAGTGTCAAATAAAGTTGTAGGTATTTCAGATTCATATAAAAGCTGTATTGTAACAAAATGTTATTTAAGTTCTAATAAAATGTAAATAAAATTATAATCAATTATTAATATTAACTTTAGTTTTTATTTCTAATGACATATATCGGACTCATATTTATATTTAAGGAACATTACATCTAAAATAAATTTAAATTACTTAATTATAAAACTGTGTTAGGTAGTAAATTAAGTTGAATAATATGTTAACATAATTATATCACTAATAAAGTTTAGTATATCGGTACTTAATATTTGGGAAAGAGATAACAAATTTTACGTATTTTTTTACCAGGTCAATTATATAGGCTCAACCTTTATCTACTCATAATAATTACCTTGATAATATTTGAATTTTTTAGTATGGATATCATGAATTTTGATGTTATGAAGGACAATTATAAAAATACAAAGGAATAGAAAATCATATTGCTATACTAATATATGTATCTTATAGTTGGTTAAGGTTACTTAAAAAATTTAGTATATTTTAATAACTTATATGTTAAAATATATTTGATTAGTGAAGTAGAGTATAATGTAAGTTGATGGCTAAACATTTAAATTATTGGCTATAACCAATAATCAAATAAATTTGTATGAAATGATACTAAAAAATGAAAAATGAAAATTCATTTAAATATACCTGACTCTCACTAATAATAAAAAAGTTTTACTCATTTTCTAATATTCATATGATTTATGAATATGTTGTGTTCTTTTTTATTTTATGACTTAATAAAATGTAATCTTCATAAAATCTAAATTTAAATTTCAAGCATCAAAGAAAAAATTTTAAATCGAAGTTTAATCATTTAACTATTTATTTAGTATAATTATGTACACATTTAAATAAGGATGAATATAATTTGAGTAAAATTTAGAAAAAGAATACAGTTTTTTTATAAAAAAGTTTTACTTCATCTAAACTTATTACTAAATTTTGTTTTTTTTACAATTATTCCACATATAATCGTAAAACTTACTTATAAATGGCAATAATAGTTTAGAACTAAAAACAAATAATAATTTTCAAATTTGTAAATATTTTTTAGTTTCTAGTGAAAATCAACAAACAACATTTTTTTAAAACTATTGAATAATCGAAAATTGTTATTACTATATATAATAAATAAAATAGCTAAATATTTTTTAATAAACAATTGCGTTCATTCAGTCCTTTGGTAATTACAATGAAATATCTAAAATTATATAGAAAAAAACTTAATGTATATTTAACAATTATTTGTCTAATTTTTTTCGTATTATTTAACAATAAAAAATGTTATAAACAGTTTTTAAAATGTGTTAAAAATTAATGAATAAAAATATATTTAAATGCATAAACGGTTTCAAGTTACATTTTGAAAAGGCATAATAAATTAACTGGCATAAGTTGATACATAAGAAGGTAATACTCAAATACTAACAATATATTCATTGAATTAGGTATCCAAGCATAATATTTTAAAAATGTATTGCAAGTTTTGTCTGTAATTAGAAGAACCGGAAATTATTGAGTAGTAAGTATAAAAAAATAATAATTCACAGAAACATTATACTAGTGCAGCCAGTTGTTGTTACTGTAACAAGTTATCATTATTAAATGATTCTTTTCTCGTGTGCTAAGTATATTATTACTGTTGTTGTTGTTCAGCTATTGGAGGAAGTTGGAACTGTTGGGGTCTTTGCTGATTGATTTGGAACTGTTGTTGAGGCTGAGCTCTAAATTGTTGTGACGCTTGTTGTTGTGGCAATTGCTGTGTTTGTTGTTGCAATTGCTGAGGTTGTTGTTGCTGTGGCTGAAATTGTTGTGGTTGTTGCTGTCTCTGTTGCTGGGGTTGAAATTGTTGTGGTTGTTGCTGTCTCTGTTGCTGTGGCTGCCGCTGTTGTTGTTGTGACTGCTGAGAACTTCTTTGCGGTTGCTGACGTTGTGGAGTGTTAGTTTTAGGCTGCTGTTGTTGCAGTGGTTGTTGAGGTTGAGCGGGAATGTTTTCTTCGCTATTACCACCTTCCTCTTCATTAGCAGGTAAGTCATCTGGTGATGGAGCAGGAGTGGATGGTACTTCACAGTCTTCAGTGGGTGGCACTACACATCTCAGAGTTCTCTTGTCAAACACCAGCATAGCAGGACACCTTTGTAACCTCGGATAACCTCCTTGACATTGCCAGTATCTATTACAAGATTTTCCAAGCGGTACGTTTCCATTGGCGTCCTCGTTACAAAGAGCTATAAAAAATTAATTCTTGAAAATTTTTCAATATTTTTTTAATCTACTATAATTAATAAGAGAAAAAGTAAAAAACTACTATGAATACATCCAAAATGAATGTTAGGGAAATGAAAAAAAATATTTGATGATTTAGAGAATAGTTTGGCCGAGTTGGTAACGCGATAGTCACGAGTTCGAGATTCGGTAATGGCAGCTCTGTTTGCTGATTTTTCATTGTGTCCGATCGTAAAAATTTATCAATTTAGGAGTTTTAAATAATATTAATAATTTTCTAAAATTTTGTCCGGAAATAAAATCTTGGCGTTATAAAAAAGTCATAATAAATAGCGAAATTTAAAAAATAAAATAGATATTCTCGTGTTTTACGATTTAAAAATGATTGCCATTGTGTATCCCACGTAATCCTAAGTTATATGTACTGGTTATAGTGATTTCGGTCAATTATTTTCAAACCGTCACGAATTGCCTGGAAAAAACAAGTAATAAACGATCAACGGTGTTACGAGCGTATCAATAACACTATCAGTCATTTAAAAGCGTGACAACCGGTCGTTTTTTAAATACATATTATTGATGAGGTTACATAATATAAACACACGACCTAAAGTTGAGTTAAGATAAAGTTATTATTTATCACTCACGATAAAAAAATCATATTTCAAGTTACAAATAACTAGATACAATAATGTAAGTCTATAAAATTTAGTACTTTGTTTCTGGGTAACAGGAGTGAAATGTTGGACCTATTTTCACTCAAGTGGCAAAATTCTGATCAACACTCTTCGAAATAACGAATAAAATAATTTTAATTTTCCTGTGTTATATGTTTCCTTTTAAAATGTTTGAATTATTTGTAAAAAGTTGTTAAAATTAACCTGAACATTTTTCCCTGTGTTCAAAGAGAAATACTTAGACAATACTGATAAGTATATTTTCTTGTTCACTTCTGCTCATGTCTATATCAAAACGTAAACTTAAGAATTTTATTTCGTGATTCATGTTATGGACGAATTTATTCAGTTGCAAATATGAAGATAATATAACATTTTGTTGTATTTTAACACAATATATCATACTTTCCCATTGAATAGTCGTGTGTTTTCAAATGTTTTGACTTTAAAGCTCATGTAATGCTGGAGAATATATGAGAGTAATAAAATAAAACGAAGCTTAACATAAAAATGATAACTGATAATTCAACATTGATTTAATCAAACCATCTTTTTTTCGAAATCTCCGCTTTATATTAAAAACTCGACTTAATGTTTTGATTGATAAAAATTGACAGCAATTAGTAATAAGCAAATAATTACTTTCCTCGTTTTTCTCACTTAGTATTATTATATCACTTATAACGAAAATTACTTATACCAAAAAAATAGTGTGTACTTACGGTGTTTTTGACAACCCTCAACGTTCTCAGGCCAGTCGCAGGAATGAGTATCTTCATTGTATAGCAATCCACCAATACATAATTGTTCAGTGGCTGTTCCATTCCAACATGTCCAGTACCGAGTGCACGACGTTTCGTGACCAAATATACCATATAACCAATCGCAGTGATCACGAGATATGGGCCCATCTAAAAAATCAAATGTCATATTAACGTGATTTGAAAACAGTTTAGCTATAAAGAATAGTATGCGTCCCAAGGAGTAATTGGTTTCGCCTAACTAAACACACGTTTACCGGTAATATAAACTTAGCAATAACATTTCTTGATTTAATCCTACGAACTTTTTAAAGTGATGTCATTCTTAATAATCACAATCAGGTCGAGTTAAACGGAATTAGCAATAATTATTTTCTAAGACTAAACAAAGAGGCTAACGAAATTAAAACTATTCTTCACCGTTTAATGTGCATGTATAATACATATAGACATACATAAATTTAAAGCCACAAATATAACAAATCTTTAAGTTACGCGATACCCTCATGATTTACATTTTATTAAATGCTGTTAAATTTGGCAGAGTTGAATATCTTTGACAATGATGTATAAAAAATACATACTAATATTTAATATAACATTTTTAAATATTAGTATGTAATAATATTCAAATTCTTTCACATTTTCTAGAGATATCGTTAACATTCTTGTTTCATTTACAAAAAAATCGAGGCACTTGGTAAAGGTACTTAGTACAAAGAAATCAATTTTTCGTGGAAAAGATAATGTGTACATATTCTAATAATTAATACAAAAAAAAAATTAATCGAATTTTGAAGTAGAATAAAAATTATGTTGAACTCAGAAAGAAGCTTGTCAACTCCACGCGGTATAGATACATTTTTTTTCTCTCCAGTAAAATTTAGTTTTTTAGACCTTTACCATATAAGCGCCTCAATCGAATTAATCTTTGATGAAATTTCTAACATACAATAATAATTATAATATTCTCTTACTAGCTTGAGTTTTGCCTTCGCAGTAATCGGATCTCCATGGATAGTCACATCCTTCAGTCACACCCCTATGTTTACCTGCATAAACCAACCCATTTGGACAGTCGTAGAGTTCTGGTTGACCATCATTGCATTCCCAATAACGATCACAATAAGATGCATCAGGGACCACTTTAGTTTTAGATTTACATGGATCTTCTTGTATGTTTGAAGATTTTAGCTGCTGTTGACAAACGCCTGCGAAGTAAAAAATGCTTTTGTTATTATGATACGCTAATATAATATGCGATTTTAATTTTCGGTAAAATGTTGTCGAATATCATACAAATTGTAATACATAATAATTTTAAAAATATTGAATAATCACGCAACCGGTTTAATATTATTAGTTCTGCAATTTACTCGCTAGGTAATCTAAAATAGTTATGCAATGGCGTCATTCAGTATAAATTCAATGTACTATAAGAGCAAAACTCCTAATAATTAAAATGATTCATATGACATCTTCATTTTATTTAATATGTGTAATGATATTGAATATATTATATACACTGAAAAACAGATTACAATTTGGAATGCTTTTTGTGAGTTCTAATAAATATCTCATTTGAATTTAGCCGAGAGGAGCAACTTCTTCGTAATAAATGGCGGAGTGATTACGTTTTATGTTAAATAACAATTAGAAGCTCACTTATAGCAATTTAAAACCTGTCTACAGAATATTTTGAATAATTAAATTTGTATTGATGTTAATCAATATGAAGTATGCCACACAATAACCACTTTCCCAAAATAATTCATTACACCAATAAAATAGTGATTTAAATACATTCATACAGTTAATCAAATTTTAATATATTTAATATTAATCACATTTCACTTCCCAAAAACTAAAAAAAAACCTATAAATTAGTATTTGTATTTTTATTTTACATGTTTAAAGTGTTAAAAAAAATTTTATCGCCTTATAAAAAATAAAAATTGAATATAATAATCATATTCACATCAATATCACACTCGTTGTGGATGTTAAAAATCGTTTGCATTTCCCAACCCTCTTTAGTACATCTACCAGCTTGCAAAATCTTCGTTTTAAAGATATTAATACTATATCATCTAAGTAAGTAAGATGTATTATTTTTACGACCACTATACACAGTTCGTGTGAGATGTTGACGGTGAAAGCGAAGTGGGTAAAATGTATAGCCGTCGTGATCGGCGTATATGTTGGCGTATTTTGTTCTTTTTTAGGAAGGAACTGTAGGGTAAGATTACATCATAAGTCGAGCAATAGGAAAGATAGACGACCTTGCTTCTTGTTACATAAAAAGCTACTGCAGAGACTTCGATGACCGATTATGATGCCGTTGAACTTTCCGCGGGCTAACAGAATGGCATCTAGTAATAATTGTGACCAAGAATTAATCCAGACAAAATAATGAGCCGAATGAAACAAATGAGAGAAAGAGAACCGAAGATGACGCGGTTGTTGACTGTGCCTATGTATATAAATATAAACTAGTTAGATAATAATAGAAAGCTGACACAAAGCGAGGGCGGGCGTGGCGAGATGTCGTTTTGTCGTAAGTTTATTCATTATAATTATTTGTGTGTGTGTGTGTATTGTTTCTGTCTTAAATGCTGGTCTACTCTTGTCAGATATTATACTTATTGTTGATGATTATTATTATGGAAGCATTGGGTTGCGGCTGCGATAAAGAACTTATTGTTATTACTTATTTCAATATATACCAAACGACTATTGAAAACAATAAATTGAAATGGACAACAAGAAGAGCGTAACAAATTGTTTTTAATTAACTCGAGCCCCTAAATAATACATAAAATACAATTAGAATGCTTAATACACAGGTCATCGCTTTTCATTGTAGATGAATTTTAAAGGTTACAGTTATTACCAAAAATCATTTGGGAAGATAATTACAAAAATAATGGTATACAAATTAACATAATCACCAAGTACTTTCACTTTTTCAGTCATTAAGTAAAAAACAGTAAATATTTTTTTGAATTTACTAAGCTTTTATGGAGTAAATAAGTCAAACAATTGTGAAACAAGAAATGACAATTGAAATTAATCATAATAAACTAAAAAAAAATGAGACAAATAAAATAAAATAGCTTATCGTTACTCAGTCAGTATATAAATCTTCAATATTTGTAAATACTCTTTTCCAATGAAACTAGGCTAGATTTTTAAAGAAAAATTAATGCTCCAATTATAAACTGAGAAATTATTTTTATTCGTAACAAACAAATTAATCTTAATTCTATAACTTCCTATAAAAACAGGAGATCTAATGGTATCCCATTAAACTTTGTATGACATAAGTGAAAAATTTATTATGAAAAATCAAAGAAACAAATAACATTGGATCAATTCCCACGTATGACATTTACATAACTGAAAATGTAAACATTTCGAAGTTTATATTGGAAGGTCCCTAAAGAGTGAAACGTGTGAATTGGGTCTAACACTCATTGGAAAGATTTCCAACTATGATGCAACTATGGTACGTGAATAATAAAATATTGGTTTAAACAAAAAAGTTAACAGTATGTAATTAAAATAAGACCGTGAGATTAAATTTAGGTGATGTTGTCAGGTTGGGTTTGGTTTGGTTGGGTTGGTCCATGATTCTATTTAAAATTTCGCAACGTTTATACTGCAGCTATTTTTAATAATTGAAAAATGCTCATTTACTTCGGATACCCTTCGGTTAATGTGAGATTTAATATAATAGAACATAGTAAAATTAAATTGTCATGCAAAATCCTATTGTGCTCCTCAACTAAAATTACTTCAGGCCTTATATGTGTTCGAATTCACCAACAATACTGAGCAAAAATTCTTAAAAAGGTATTCGATAATACAATATAATAATAATTTCAAAAATAAAATATATATATCGATTCTAAGAGTTTGGTCTACCAAGTTTATACTACTATATTATTAAATTTATCGATTGGCTCCTACTATAGTTAAATCTTTAAAATTTGAATTAATTAATATTCACGAACAATTTTTATAAAAAATTTGTATTATTATATATCTTTCAAAATATTTTCTTGAATATTTTCCTAAGTCTACAGTAAACTCTATTGAACTACCCAAACAATTTATCGTTTACAAATCATCGCGTTCCAATACAAATGTGTATTTTATTTTGTAGCACAAATAACTTGATATTTTGCTTCAAATATAACATTTATATACAAGAGAAAGTAAACATATTTAACGAAACATTTGACAACATAAATGGGATTTTAATGATTATATCAAAAAAATGTAAACGAATAAATAGTTCAACAACGGTTCAGAAAGAGTAATACATTTTTTTTTCTGAACTCATCTAAAGAAATAACGAGTCATTTACTCAACACAAATTAAATTATTTTTATAACTTCTGCAGTGAGTTGATAAAAAGAACAATTAATTTTGGACTAATCTTTTATTCATTAAATAGGTTCAAAATAATTTTAATTTTTACAATATAAAATTAAATTACAAATACCTAAAATTAAATTAATATTGAAATTAGTATCAAATAGACTGTTTGTACAAATGATAGTCTCAACGTTTTCAAACATATTCCTTATTCATTTTTTTATGATTTCTCATTTTTCTTTATTTTTAGTATTATTATTTTATTTTTTTATCATTATTCTTTTTACAAGGCCAAAGTTTGAAATGTTTTATAGTGTAAAAATTATTAGAAGTAAGACTCTAGAATATAAACGTATATATTTCCCTGAATAGAAGTATCTTATAACACTTTGATGGTATAATCTTTTATTAAATAAGTAACAATGAAATTTCAGCTTCAAGAACATTTATTTAAATAAATAATGCAAATTTTATGAACATTCGTTATTGAACAATAAATTTGACTTTGAAATATATCTAAAATGTTTGATATATTAAAAACTTTTAACCTATGTAATTAATGGAGTAAATATATACAATCAAAGAAATTATAAAAAAATGATTTTTAAAAAATGCTTGTTCTTATTTTTGAATTTCACCAATAAAGATAATGATACATTTAAGAATTACAAAATTTCAACTTCTGAATATTATAGGAAATATATTAGAATAATAGTTTTAGAATATAATTACCTAAAGTTTAATAAAAATAATAACTTTAAATAAAATAAAAAGTAATGATAAATAATATATAAAAACAATGATATTACAATTGAAAATTTTTATTTTTCAATTATATAAATACTGTTTAAATTTATTACTGTACTTTATGTTTAAATATTATTCAATTTTTTAAATACAATAAATGGATTAGGAAAACTAAAATACTCAAATCATATTTTTCTACAGTTAAATATAGATTAAAAAAATTAAAAACGTAACTCTGTTAACTAAAATTTTTATTTGAGAAAGCTTTGAGAATTGATGATTTAGCAAAACGGAAATATTGAATTATTGACTCATAATAATATTAATAGTTTGTGATGTACTCTTATTAAATTGATACCGCGTTTGTGTATATTTTCTGTACTGATTGCCGTTTTAGGCTTATTTAATAAATAATAATAATAAATGATGTATTTATAACTAAATATTTCAATTTTAATAATACATATTTATGTATATATTTTTTGAAGGATTGAAAACAATTAACTCTCCATTTTAAATATGTATTAGTATTATAAGTTATTTATAAAATAATTATTACTATTAAAAATAATTTTAGTCAAAATTATTTGAAAAATAAATAAACAATTTTAGATAATATATTATATTGAAACAATATGTATAAATAACATACATATATATCTTGCATGGTTATTTTAAAATACAATTTTCAATTATAAAAGGTGGATAAAAAATTATCGCCGCCAAATCTTAAATTTAGTTACTCATAATTTGAGTGTCATTAATTTTTACATTTTTTTTTTAGTGTCATTTTAATCTGATAAACATTAGAGATCTTTGCAAAGATTTTTTACATTCAATTAAAAAAAAGAAGTATTTATAATTAATCTAAATGTATACTTACATTGCTGCACAAGGTAAGCGGATAAAGCCACCCAAAGACATGCGTTGCGCTTCATCGTTGTCACGTTAATAACTAACTGTAACACCGGTCAGAAGGTTTAACAACGTTAACAATATGGAGGCCGTACTGTCGTCAAAGAGTGGAAAGATAGAGCTGAAGACTATATTGTGTACCATAAAGGGAGAGATATAAAGAGATGAAAGTAAGTGTGAAGAATCTCGGAGGGGCTTTACCTTACTTTTCAAGAAACTATTCGTCTTTATAAAAAAAATACGAAATTATCATTAATATGTATTTGTAAAACATAAATTATAATCAATAGTTTACCCTGTAAAAATATGTAAAGTATACATATAATATACGTACGTTAATACTTATAAGCGTTGGTGTCAGATGGGTAAAACCTCCTTGATCTCCATAAAACCACCACTGAATTTAAGAATAAAATCTTGTAATACAACAAAATTTATTATATAACTAAATATAAAACTGTAGATTTTATTTTACTAGTACAACAATAATAATATAAATCATACTTGAAATGAATGGAATTTTTTACAATTATTAAAAAATATTGAACTGATGACAGTTTGATTTGAAATTTAACAAAATTTGTTTAAGATCAATTAATTATAGAAATAATTATCGTTTCAACAATAAAATGTATAGAAGTGTTATTTTTTAAAATTTCATTAATGACATCAATTATAATTAAAAATTTCCATATAATAGGTAGCTAAAAATTTAAAGTGTAGGCCTTTAGTTAAACAGATGTCAAATTTATATAAAATTTGTAGCTTTAAAGAACAATCTACCTAGTCTAATGGAGAATAAGTTTTTAGTAATTTTTGAGCTGTATTTGTTGAGAATTTAGATGACAAAAGAATATTTTTAGTTTTATCTAATAAATTTGTATATAAAATTAATCGAAATAAAAATGTTTAACTTAAAATTAGACAAATAAAAATTCTAAACAAAATTAAAAATTAAACTATTAATCAAAATAAAACTAATTTCTATGCGTTTTTTAATTTTATGAAAATAAAGACTTAAATATTTAAAACTATTTGACAATTATGGAAAGCTTTGTGGGATAACACTTTAAAAAGCTTTGTACAGACTAATAAAATTAATACAAAAAATAAATTATTTATAGTATAGAAACAAATAAATAAAAACATTAGGTTTTTTAACAGTTGCAACATTCATAAAATATTTCTTTTAATTATTTGGGTAAAAAATATACAGGAGAAAATTATAATTAAAAAAAAATATTCTATTGTCTGTACTCATAGTTGTGTGAATATTGTAATTTGGTTATTATTATTGTTCATACTTAAAATTATCTATTATCATGTTTAATTACAACTTAAAGAGTGAAATAAGATCTTCTTAAACAATAGATGCTAGAGCAATGATAAAATATCATATTTTATTTAAGTTTTATGTTTACAATAATTGTAGTAATTGTTAAAGGTTTTGGTTAGGACATTCAATTTAAATGTCTATATCTTACAGATGTAGATAGATATAATACAATAATAAAAAACAATCGCTAAACATATTTAAATTATGCGATTATAGCACCTATAATTTTGAATTACAACTTGCCTAGTTGTGCAACTGGTGATCAATATGAGAAAAAGTCTAGATAAATAAAACTACTTAATGAAAAGTAAAATTTAATACTTTCAACAATATGAAATAAAAAACAAATCTATTAGATTTAATTCAAGTACAAAAGATTATAACTGTATATTATTTTGATTGATTTGGTAATATTAAATGCAGAAATTCAGAATTTTGAATTTTTTGTAATAAGATTATTTATCCAATTTAGATGTCAGAAAGACTAAATATTAATTATAACGAAGGTATTACTGAACAAACTCTAAGTGTGTTCAGTAACTAGATTAGCCACCATAAATTTAACATACTACTTTGTTAAATAATATATTTACCAGATCCTTTATCTGGGGTCTAGTCGAAATTTCTAAGTAATCAGATGAAAATGTGGAACAACATTTTTACTAGATGTCTTAATGTCTAACATATTAAATTATTCGAATTTCATAATACACACTTCCTAGATATGTATTTTTTTTATTTTTGTTAGTGTACATTTACCGTTTTTATTACTGTTCGTTTAATTCTAAATGTCGTTATTTCCGTCAGCCTGAAGCTAAATCAAAACGAGTCTTGTGGTGATGCAATGACTTATTAGGAAGTCTTAAATGAAAGCGTGATATTAGCCATGTGTTAAACACAAACTATATTGTTTAAATATGTTTGTCACTTACCCGTCATTTATATGGAGCTAATTATATAAAAATAATTCACATATTTCACCGCATTTCTACATATAATAATACTATGATTAATCTAATTAAGATACGCCCATAGAAAATAAAGCTCATCTTCAATAATATCTTTATAAGATTTCAATAAATATATATACCATGATATACAAGGTATTTAGTATACTAAATTAAGTTAATAAACATTAGAAATTTAAGATTTTTCAGCATAAGTTTGAATCTAATCTTAAAAAAATTTTAATTGTGCATTTTTTTTTGTATTTACAGAAAAAATGATGTTATAATTTTATTAATTCTTATTGCATTTAATCAGTAATAGTTGTTCCATATATATTATTTCATATACTTTCTTTTCGCATTATTTATTCATTATTCGTGTTCTGTCATTATAATTTAAAATTTTAGGTTTGTTAAAAAGGGTACTGTTACGAAACATATATAATTGGTATCACTGAAATCATGCATGGATTTTTTGTTACATTAAATACCTCAGTAGTAAATATTTTTAGAAAAAAGATACTTATACTTAACTTATGATGCAAGGATAATTATGGGAGGAAAATCCCAACTCCTAAATACTAAATAATTGTATTCGGTAAATTTTGTAAATCGAGAGGTTTTTTTATTTTTGCAATTTTTTTAATGACATTTTTCCAAATTATTTATTTATTGTGTTATAAATAATGAATGCCATAATACACATCGTAAGTTTAAAACGTTCGAACAAATTCCATACTAAGTTGGCATATTTCACTGTTATTATTCATCTATGAATTACATAATTATCACAGAGATAAGATTTGTCTTACCTGTGGTATAATTTGTAAGGAGTTTTGTAATAATATTTGTACCCCCTTTATATATTAATTTGTATATTTACTATGCGTTTTGTATATATTTGTTGTTTTATTATAATTATAAATAAACGGTTTTAGACAAATCGGGGCAGTAATGATTTTCGTCTAGTTCCCCCGGGTTGTTTTAGAATTTATTATGAAAAAAATAATTCTAATGATAAGCAAAAAAATTATTGTCATCTTATATATTTTAATATGTATACAACTAAATATATTAAAGCAGAGATCGGCGAAAATGCTTAGACAGATGAGTGGAGTAACTAAAGATGGCATAAGGAACGGACATGTAATTGGGAGTATAGGTGTAATGTCAGTTGTGGATAAGATTAGAAAAAATTGACTTAATAGTATCTACTAGTTACTATTATTGGGAAATATAAGACATTGTAGAGCTACAAATTATAACGAATAATAGTAGTGACTTCTATTATTTATCAATATTATTATTTGTCTGACCACAATGTAACACTGCCACATATCGTTGAGTTAGATTTAACCAAGGTGGATACTTCCATCATGTATACCAGTAATCGTTATCAACATTTTTATCAATGTCGTTTAACATACTTAATTACTTATTTAGATCATAAAACAGTTTGATCATACTTTAATTGACATTTAAAATTAAGAAAACGTTACGAGATATTTTCATTATGGGATATGAACGATCTAAAAAAGAAGCTGACGAAGAAATTGACAATGTTGTACTACAAACGATTGAGTTAATGGATAGTTATTGCAGTTCTATGGGTCGCCTTGAAAATTGTTTACGTGAAGGTTGTGTACAATTAGCTAAAACTAGGTATGTTGTTGGAAATCGAAACGTATCTGATCTACAATTACCAACTACTAGACCCTATTTAGCTAGAACATTACTTACTACGAAAGCTGATAAGGTTATACTCAGTCAACATGAAAACGGAGATGACCCTCTTAAAAGATTTGGAATACTAGTTCCAAATAGTTTACGCTTAGCTCAAAATCAATTTTGCAAATGTTTAGAATCTACTGTTGAAGCTGTAAATATTAAAAATGAATTGGATTATTTACAGAAAAAATTAAGAAACCTAAAATTAAAAAAGAAAGAAATGAATTAAGTATTACATTTCTAGTATTAAATATTATTATTATTTAAATCTAATTATTACCAATTATAACTGTAATTTTAATTTTTTTCCAAGAATAAACAAATTAGTTGAACAATTGTAAAAAAAAAAAATGTAATTACATCTATCAATAACAATAAAAATGATTAGTTCAATTAAAAATATTTTATGATAAATAAATAAATATCTTAGTTTATCATTTTCTATGATTTCGAAGATGAGTTGATGATTTAACTGGCTTATTAATTTCATTTTTAACATAATACTGCATACCATACAAATGTGTTTGAGATGATAAAAAACTAAAAAAATAATAATAAAATATAACTAATTAATTACATTTATATAGTATATTAATTATATATTTTAATTTAAAAATAGTAAAATAGTTAATAAGTTTTTGAGTATTCGTAATAATAATTTGTTAAATTGATAAGAGTTTTATCCTCGTAGATTACATCAAGGATGAAAAAAAAAAAAATATGATTAGTTTTATATCCTTCTATTTCCTTAATTAATATGATACAGACGTGATGGCCCTTTTTCACATTTTAGAGACTTAATGATGGTTTTTTGCTAGGCCAATGATGGAAGGAAAAAGTATTATAGCAGGTTTGTGCCAGAAACCAGTTAAAAATATTTAAAAATATAAATATATAATTATTACATTTCAGTGAACATTAATGTAAATTTAAGGTTTCATCAAAATAGTTAATTAATTTAGATTTCTAAAAAAAATTACATTTCAAGTAGTTTTTGCTTAAAAAAAATTTTTTAAGAAAAAAATTTTGGCGATATTTACTAAATATATTTCTTTCTACATCTTACCAAACAACTAGTAAACTTATTTGATTTTTTGCTATGAGTTTTTATGACAGTCAATGAAAGAGTAATTTTGGCGAATAGCGGAAAAAATTCCCAACCAAATTTTTTTTTTTTTTAAGTTGAAGAATTAAGATATGTATGATACACGAAATGTCCTCATTGATTGTAATTGAGCTTTTTTTTTTACAGCCTCAAAAACAGTTCATATGTGTATATGCGTAAGTTTATTTAATTATAGTATCATTAAAGTGTAGTGTATAATAAGATACAACCGATAGAGTAGGTAATTGATTTGACGCTATATTGTTTAAACCTAACTAAACGCTTAATTATACATTCCCACACAACAATTATTGTTGTGTGGGAATGTATAATTAATTGACATAATATAATTATTATATTATGTCAATTGCCACCAGAATTTCTGGTAATAATAAAGATAATTGTCATAAAACGGCTTTTAGTCAGTTGCTGGAGCTGGTAAAAAATGTGGCTGCCGAAAAACAGGGCTTAAATGTTCTATTATATGTGAAAATTGCAAAGATCAATGGCGTACAAATTCAATAGAAATAAAGATTGAAGATTAAGAAGATTGTACTTTTGTTGAAGATATATTCTATCAAAATTTAAAATGGGAAAATTAATAAGAAAATGGAAAAAAATTTTGTTTGATACATTTGTCAAATAACTTTAGAGGAGAAATCCTCCATCAATTACATACTTTACATTAGTAATGCATATAACGTGTATTTAGGATATAAATAAGGAAATAGGAGATCATGTAGCTTTTGTAAAAAGCCATTAAATTTTTAAAATTAAACACTATCTACAGATTTGCATCAAGGCGTTTTTTTATGATAATGATTTTAATTACTGTCGCATATCATTTATACTGCACCCAATTATACACACTGTGCCGGGACACTGCTGGTTTTTTTTTTAAATAGCAATTAGTTGAAATAGTAGCAATGGGTTTACTTTAATTATTATATTTAACAATAGAAGTCATTGAAGATAGAGTTATAACTTCTGAGTTTATTAGAACAAAACCAATTTTATACACTTTATGACAATTAATTCTATCATTACCAGAAATTCTGGCTGGGTTGACAAAAGAGAACATGAGGTAGGTGAAATGAGGAGATCAGTGACAATAGGCGAGAATGTGAATGGGGAGGTGAAAAGTTTTAAGTATTTAGGATCAGTTGTGCAAAAGAGCGGTGGTATTGACGAGAATGTAAGACACAGGTTAAGTGCGAGTGGTTGAAGTGGAGAGAAGCGTCTGGTGTCTTATGTGATAAAAGAATTCCAATGAGGCTGAAAAGTAAATTCCATAATACTATAGTGAGGCCAGCTATGATGTATAGTTCATAGTGTTGGGCGGTTGATAAGAAAGTAGAGCAGAGAATGAGTGTAGCAGAGATGAGAATGCTTAGTTGGATGAGTGGAGTGACTAGAGAAGATAGGATAAAGAACGAGCATATAAGAGGAAGTATAAGTGTAGCGTCAATTGTGGATAGATGAGAGAAAAGACTTAGATGGTTAAGTCATGTTATGAAGAGAGAAGAATCGGAAGCTGTAAGAACAGTTAAAGAAATGAATGTTGAAATAAGAAGAGATAGAGGAAGACCAAAATAGAGATTGAGGGATGTTATTGAATGCGACATGAGGACAGCTGATGGGAAAATAGATGTAGGAAATCGTATCAAGTGGAAGCTTAGGATAAGGATGGCTGACCCCAAGTAGTTGAGATTAAGGCAAAGAAAAAGAAAAAGATTACCAGAAATTCCGGTGGCAATTGACATAATATAATTATTGTTTGGGAATTACAATTTAGCGTTTAGTTGGGTTTAAACAATATAGCGTCAAATCAATTACCTACTCTATCCATTGTATCTTAATATACACTACACTTTAATGATACTATAAATAAATAAACTCACACATATGCATTTATAACATTGTGTCTAATGTAAGCATAACATGATAAAAAGAAACCGTAAAATGAAAAAAATGGAATATAAATTTTAGTACTCATATTAAATGTAACTCGAAAAATATTTGTTTAAATGAAAAAATATATGATACCTTTTTTGTTTAGAATTGTCTTTAAACAACTTTTGTACGAAACTTTTTTTTGTAAGTTAAATATTTTTTGAGAAAATTAAAAAAATTCATATTTTTGAACTTTTGCAAGGATGTAAAAAAAAAGGTCAATTCCAATCAATGAGGACTTTTAGTATGTCATTATACATATCTTAATTCAACTTTAAAAAAAAAAAAAATTTGGTTGGGAATTTTTTCTGATATTCGCCAAAATTACTCCTTCGTTGACTGGCCTACTTTCATAGATACACAATACATATCTATTTAGCCTTCTAAATATACTAAGTGATTCTGTTATCAATAAGTGGTTCATAATAACAGAATCGCCTGGTCTAATATTATTAATTTATTATACAGAATGTTCGATAAGTAAGGAAACTTGTTACAAACAACGAGATCAAAAGAAATCTATTCCTTTACTTAATGAACACCTATATAATTATAGAAGTATACATTATTTCATCATATATATTATAAATGGTGAATAATTTTTTACTTTAAGAGTCCATTACTGTAGGAATAAACTGTCAAAAGTTTTTCTCCGTCCACTTCTGTATACGATAATATCTTTGGAAGATTTTCTAAAAGAAAAAAAATTAATTTAGTGTAAATTCAACTCTATTATAAATTATGCACATTGTACACAATAGAAATTTTATTTTTTGAAATAGACAAAAAATTGTTTTCTTTATACTTCAAACTGTTCATAATATATATTTATAATTCATGGTATTACTTTCAAAAACGTTAGAAAATAACAATTTCATTAAAAAATTTTTGATTCCATCATAAAACATGATTTTTCTGATACATCTTCAATCTAAACTCCTATTTAATATAAATTAACAAAATATGAATGCAAAAATTCTAAGATTTAAGCTTAAATAGTATGCAGGATGTGTCTTGACCAAACCATACTAATACATACATGGGAAATGTAAAAAGCGAGATCAATTGATATATTTTGTTAAAATATAATAATTAAATATAAATTAATATTTAATGAGCTGTAGATTGTTGAATAATTTAAAAGAGTTTTTTATGATGTCTTATTGAATAATGATATAAAGTTTAAATAAACATCCTGGAATAACAAAAAATTGTATTACAAAATATGGCATTACAATTAAATGTTAATTATTGAGTGTTTTTTATGAGAATATTTTTCTTTTTGTAAAATTATTACAAATTATTATAAATAAAATAATTTATCTTGATTAAATTATAAAAACTAGTTTTTATAGCCTATAGTTTTTATATTAGATATAAATTTTGTAGGAAAATATAAAAAATTTTAATTAAAATAACTAAAGGGTTACCAAAAGAAAAAAAAATATGAATAAGGTCAACTCTACGCTATATAAATGAACTTTTTAAACCATGATTTTTTTATGATGTAGATAAATCTAACATTAGTCATATAGTAACTTATATCTTAATATTAATCCTTTCAAAGTTTTGGTACAGTATTAAGTATCTATGTGGTATGTTCAGAAAATAACGGAAATTTTCATTTTTAAAAAAAAATATTTATTTATTCGTCCACATTAATATTGTCGCCTTTTAAAAAGTCTCCATTAGTTATTATTCACTTGTGCCAACACTTCTTCTAATTCTCTAAATTTTTCTCAAATTCTGGAATTGGGATAGCCTTCAGCTCATTCAGTGATGTGCTTTTAATGGCATCTTTTGCAAAAAATTTCATGGAATGAGTTAACCAATATTCCAACATCATCAGCGACTTCTCTGATTGTGATTCGGCAATTGTTCATAACCATTTGTTTCACTTTCTCCATTGTTTTCATCGGTTGTTGATGTGCTAGGGTGTTTGTCATCTTCAACGTCTACACAGTCCCTTCTTGAAACTCTTATACCACTCGTAAACCGTTTTTTTACTAATGGCAGACTTACCATAAGCCTTTGTTAACATTTCACACACTTTGTTACACTTCATTTCATTTGTTACACAAAATTTGATACAAATCTTTTGTACAGTGCTTCCATTAACAAAAAAGACTAAGTGATGTAAGCAATGAAACTAAATACATTTTTTTTCCAAAGTTAAAAATGATTTAAGTTGAAAAACAGAAATCTTTGATAATTATTTTTAGCCTATCCTAAGGTATTAAATAACCTTGATATTAAAAAATTGATTTTGAATCATTTAAATTAAAAAAGTTGGGTCTGAAAGAGTTAACGTGCTAGACATAAAGGCAACTTCAAATAATCTTCAACTGAGTATGAAAAAACTGTAGATAGTATTTAAGCTTTAAAACCTTAAAAAAGTTTTCTAAAATTGAAATGGAAAATGTAAAGTTGAAAAAAACAGTATCTTAACTAGTAATTAGTTGAAGGAGATACAATAAATATCCTAAATTATAAAGTTTTATACCTAAAAGTCTTAAAAGATGATAGGCTCCATATACAATAGCTGGTTGTTTTATATCTTCATTATATGCACTATCTGGAACAGCTTTCCATGATTCAGCTTTTGAAACATATTCATCGCGTACTTTTTCAAACATATCTTGCACTATTTTTGAGCACTGAGATTTTGTCATACTGTAATGGTTATTAAGTAAAATATAAAAATGTTTAATTTAAATATTATTGATTTTATAAAATAAAATACATTTTACCTGCAATCTGAACATGTCCTTTGAGAACTTGCATATTGGCTATTTGTACTCCGTGTATTCTCTCTTCTAGCTATAATATATCATTAATGAAATTATAATGCAATTAAGAAATGTAGAAAATAAAGGATTAGTTACATCTTAAATTGTTTTTGTTTTCTTGCACATGATTTTCTTCAACACCATTTATTACATGTTCACATGCTTTATGTTCTCCATTCCTGAATATTATAAAAATTGTTTAACAGAGAAAAAAAATAACAATTTCTATAAAATTTAACACACATTTCAGGGTTAAGGTTACTATTATTCACTGGTGGTTTTAAAATTATTCTCAATGCTTCATAGTATTGTGCTTGTTCATCTTCATTAACCAATAACTGTCTAAATAAAAATGTATTAAAGCATATTCGCAGCCCATCTAATACTTCAATACAAATTTGATATCTAAAGTAATTATAGTTAAGAAATTAAACTGAGTTTCACAAATAAAAAACATCAATAAAAACAATAAACAAGAATAACAATGAAACTACACTAACCGTTTTTCTAATTGTTGTTTAGTAACAGCTTCAGTTGGGCGATTTTTTTTCTTTACCCTACTTTCAATAAAATAGTTCCTTGCTAAATATTTTAAGTAATCTTCTAGTAAAGTCACAACATTAGGTTGACACGGAAGTTGAATTAACTGAAATATTTCCAATAAAAAATTTTATTTATTCTAAACAAATTTTTTTTAATCAATATATTAATAAATTATCAAATAAAAACATGGTTTGACCTCAAAAATTTAATATTTTACACTAAATTATTTTTATTTAAACTAATTTTAACTTTGGCTTACTATATGAAAAATATATAATAATATTTAATATATGTTTACCATATTTTTTTCATGAGCTAAATAACAGTTATATCCTGTATGATACTTCAAATTTTCAGGAAATTCAAGATCAGGAAGTTTACGTTTTGGTAAATATATTGTATCACTAGGAACTTGAATGACATCATCATTATCATTTTTAATGGTACATTTATCATCTTCCAAATATTTAATTGAATCTTCAACTATTTTAGGCTCAACTTTAATTCTTTTCTTTCTATCTTTTTTGTATAAATTTCCACCCCTAAAAAGTACAAGTGAACTTTTATAACATCATATATATTTAGAAATAATAACATACGGAGTAAGTTGGGCTTCTTCTGCTAGTTCTTTTTGAAGTTTTCGATTTTCTTCAGTATCTTTAAGAATAAACTCGTCAGTTACATACCTGTCCCATGTGGAATTCCACCCCTACAATAAAATATTTTAAATTAATTTTTTTTTATAAACATTGACAAAAAATTGAATTTACCTGAAAATGGATAAGAAATTTGTAAAACTTTCGACCTTGATCATCTTTTTCTGGAACAATTTTTAAAACCTAAAACATATAAAAACTGTAAACATTTTATTATAATTTTTTTCTTTATTGCTTATACCTTAGAGTCATAGAGAACTTTTGTTTTAGCAGGATCAGGTTCATAGCACAACACTTTTTCACCCTCATCAAATTTACATTTAGTTAATATTTTTTTAGCAGTCATTGTTTTTAATTAACATTGTCCCGTATTATAACACACAAATTATGCTTTAAGCTCAACAGAAATTTGTTTCAAAGAAAACCATCAATTTATTTTACAATTTATGTCAAAATGTAAAATACGTAGAAATTAACGTAAATAAACAATGCTCAGTTTTTAAACCTCGTTATCACAGGCATGATATAACTCTTATCATTTATGTTTTCAGTGTTACCACTAATTGACAAGTTTTATTTACAATAGGATAATAAAATATATAGTTGAGCTAAGTAAATAAGTTGTATCATTACTAAATATATATTGATAATAGAGTAATGATCATAGGTGGAAAATGAGGGCCACTAAAACACCCTCTGGGATGTCATTAGCTCGCTCCTCCAAACAGATTTTGCCATTGTATTAATTTCTTTTAAGGAAAGTTGAATAATTTTTATATTAATATTATAAATTATATTATGCATAAATAATTACGGTTATATTCAATAATTGTAATTGTAATAATATAATTTTACAAAAAAAAACTTACGTACATTTTTGTATTCTTTATTTATAAACATTCTAAATATCAGTACTGATTCAGAATTTATTTATAATGGGGGCTCTGTCAAAAAATAATTTAAAGAGCAAAACGAAAAATTGTTAGCTTCGATGCGAAGCTGAGAAGGTATTAATTTTACTATGATGTGATTTTTTTTTTTTTATGTCTGTTGCCACTTTTTTTCAGCTCTCACTAGACCGATTTCTTTCAAAAATACGTCAAATGATCACAAATCGTATCTAGTTGAAGACATTACCCTTAAAAGTTGAAAAATTTTCCCTCGTTCCCCGCAAATGGGGGAAATATCCAAAAAAATTACAAATTTAAAAATCGGTAAATTTTGTCATTTTTTTTCACTTTTTTTTCTTAATACTTCCATAACTTTTTCAAAAATAAACAAATCAACATAATTTTTTTTTATACTAAAACCTAAGATATTTCTCTTTTATTTGATATCATTTTTTTGAAAATCTAACACTTAACCTGCTCAATGGGGGGGATTTAAAATAGCAACTTTTTTATANCCTGCTCATTGGGGGGGATTTAAAATGGCAACTTTTTTACAAAAATTAATTTTTTCAACTTAATTTTTGAAAATGTTCCGGAAATACTGCGTCCTTTAAACATATATCAAATTAAAGCTTATTTTATGTACTACAAAATGAAAAAAAAAAATTTGTCTCGACGACCTATCTTCAAATGGCTATCGTATTCAAAAATATGCTATTTTTCTATTAAAATTCTAGGTATTGTATTTTATTTTATTTTAAAATATCTTATTAGAAGAATATATTGACTTTCATGAATATTATATAATTTAATTGACATAGAATAAAGTTCATAAGACATAAGATATTAAACTTATTAAATTTTTTTTACTTTTTTATTTTTATATTAAATTTTATAATTATAATTAGTATTTATTCATATATTATATTTTAAAATCAAAGAACTACTAATGAGGATATAATCAAAGAAATAAGAGTTGATGTTGCTATTGGAATAATCCACCAATTTCTCTAAATGAAACATTATCTACAGATTTGCATCGAAGCGTTTCTTATGATAGTGATTTTAATCACTGCAAATATCATCTGTACTTGTCCCATCTATGCCTTGTCTACATTGTGCCTCGACCCCATTGTGCTACCGTTTTTTTAAATCAATATTAAACAAAAATTTGCGTCAATTTTTGAAAGTAGTTATATTATTATCATCCAGATATTGATGGGAAGCTATAGCTGCCCCTCAAGTATACCTTGATTCAACATTGTTAAACTTTAACATAATCGTAAAAATTTTATACAAAAATTGTTTTTGGGGGTGATTTAATTCTCTTACGTTATCAAAAATTGGATCATGCTTAGGGTAACTTTATACCTAAAGTATAAAAATAAAGAACTTTTATTACCACCCTTAGTTTTTTTTTATATTTAATGGCCTTTTTTTAAATTAAAGTGCACATAGAAAAAGAGAATAATTTTTTAGAGCTATCCAAGAAATAGGATTTTTTTAGTTTCGTCTAAATTATATGCAAAATTTTCGCCTATGCGGCCTAACCACTTAACAACAAATTTTCTTATTTTCGAACTTTACAATTTTGGTAATATAGAACCAAAAAGTCATTTAGATTAGGTATGGATATTCGAATAAAATGTATCATCTAGATGGTATAAAGATATTTGGGGATAAAATTATATAAGTGAACAATTTGTTTTTTTTTTAGATAAAATACAAATAAATTACTTTTGTTTCATTTATTAATCACTGTTTAAATGCTTTCCCTACCTCCAATTCGTATTAAATGAAATTCTATTTTGTTGTCGACAATGTAGAGAAGATTTTCCATTGAAATATACGTTACTTAAGCGTTTTTTATCTTTACTATTAATAAAATAAATAAATGGTACATACTGTTTATTAAAGTTATGTAAAAACTGTTACACCTTTTTATCTATAGTGTGATTTTCTTATTATGAATGTAATCCTATTTTTCGTTTAATAATGATTTTTTCATACAAATGTAAAGAGTTAATTTAATTTATCCAGACAACAGGCTAGATGTGCATTCCATAAAAGAAAGGGCCTACTAACTTGTAATAATATAGATTTGTAAATAAGGAAAAACTTACTTAAGACCTACGTCTGGAGGGTGGCAGTGTTTATGATAGTGAGACGTGGACAATAAGAAAGGCTGAAGAAAAGAAAATACATGTACTCGAAGTGCTATAGGAGAATTCTTAAAATAAGATGGGAAGAAGTTCCCTACAATCTTTAAGATTAGAAGAGGAAAACTAATCGGACGTACACTACGCCATAATAATCTACTAGGTAGAATAGAGGGGAAGAATAGTCCAGGAAGGCCACCATTCGAATACACAAGTCAAATAAATATGGGATGTAAAACATACAACGAATTAAAGCGTAAAACAGAGAAGCGGGAAGAATGGAGGAATGCTGCCAACCAGCCCATGGGTTGTTAACGGAAAAAAAAATTTTGTCTTCATGGTGATAATGACTGCTGTATTCAAAAATATGCTATTTTTTTTAAACAATTTCTTGATATTGTATTTTACATTTTGACAAGGCGTTGTCACCCGTATGACACTCGTGGTCGTGCTAGCTCGTTCTCAGCTACCGCCCCACTGTAAACCGGACCGTTACACACACTCATTATCGTCGTGGTGTTAAGTACAACAAATGCCAGCGTCCAACATCCGCCACAATAATACGTTGATCAGTCATCCCCGTGACACCTTCACGTTTCTTTTTGCATTCGGCTTACCATAAGTATTATTATTTTTGTAATACTGTTTTACTACCATTAGAATGATTATATTTGTGATATTGTTTTAGTGCCATTAGTAATCTTATTTTATTTCGTGTTTAATAAACGGCTCGACGGCAATTACCGTGTCTATAAGCCGACAATTCTTTCTTTATTGTGTTCGGCAAGTTAGTATTACCTGTGTTGAACTGAGTGCACCGTCACAATTTTAGCTTCGATATGAAGCTGAGAAGGTATTGGTTTTACTATGATGTGTTTTTTTTTTTTTTTTGTGTCTGTTACCACTTTTTCTCAGCTCTCACCGAACCGATTTCTTTCAATGATACGTCAAAAGATCACAAATCGTATCTAGTCGAAGACATTACCCTTAAAAATTGAAAAAAATTCCCTCGTTCCCTGTAAATGGCGGAAACCTCCAAAAAAATTACAAATTTAAAAACCGCTAATTTTCGAAATTTTTTCAATTTTTTTTACTTATATGTGCCATAACTTTTTCAAAAATGAACATATCAACATAATTTTTTTATATAGATGCATAATATCATTACCTTTCATTTCGTATATTTTTTTCATAAATTTAACCCTTAACCTGCCCACAAGGGGGGATTTAAAATGACAACTTTTTCACAAAAAATTAATTTTTTTAACTTAAATTTTGAAAATGTTCCGGAAGGTCTGACACTTTTATATATATCTTAAATTAAAGCTAATGTAATATGCTTTTTCATAAAAAAAAAAAATTTTGGACTTTATCTTATCTTTATGGTGAAAATGGCTACCGAATTCTATTTTTGCGTGAAAATTTTCGATTTTGTATTTTCCATTTTTAACTTTATTATGCTATAACTTTTTGAAAAATGTATGGATCATTACAATTTTTTTATGAGAAGTAGTATTTATATAGATCTTTCATTCGACATACTGTTTTTTTAAATCGGACCATTTCCCTAAATACAGGGGGGATTCAAAACATAAAAATGCATATAGAAAGTAGAACTTTTTCAACGNAATACAGGGGGGATTCAAAACATAAAAATGCATATAGAAAGTAGAACTTTTTCAACTTAACTTTTGGAAGTGTTCCGGAAGGTCTGACACTTTTATATATATCTTAAATTGAAGCTAATGTAATATACTTTATAATGGTAAAAAAAATTTCGGACTTTATTTTATCTTCCTGGTGAAAACAGACATTAAACTTAATAAAAAAAATACGATTTTTGTAAAAAAATTCTTTTTTATATTTTTAACTTTATAAT